GGATAAAATTGGAGAAAGAAGAGCCAATAGAACTGGAAGGACATGACAACAGATTTGGTTGGCATGCATATTTGTGGTATGGGGGGGGGAGTACACAAAGGACTCCACAATACTATAATAAGTTTTTAATAAAGGTATGGAGAAAATACAAAGAATTATTGGAACCCCAAACTCCGTGATGGCTATCACCCATTGAAGCACTATTACTTAACATGTCAACAATGAAAGGAATATGGCCAACATACAGAGAATTACTAATAGAACAAGAAGGAAAGTTAAAATTGAAAGACTATGATGAGATATAGGAAGATTTAGTGATGGTGATGGATATTTGTTGTAAGAAAGAAAATCAATAAAACATATTATAATGAAAGGAAAGGAAAGGAAAAAGAAAGGCGTTTGGACAATTTTCACGATTCAAAATTATTAAATAAAAACAAAACTCCTGGTAAAAAAATTAGATATACAAGAAAAAGTAAAGTTAGAAATAGAAACAGGACTTAAAATTACTAACAGAGCAAAGTACTTAGGAATTTGGATAACCATGAAAAACATTCATTTATAGAAAGACATTTATATTAAGGTATGGAACAAAAGGAAAGACTTAGAAATCTGGAGTAAATTAAAACTCACGTTGTGGGGAAATTTCTACAATCAAGATGGTAGTTTTACCAAAAATGCTGTTCCCTTTTCAATCAATTCTGGTTCTTAATGGCTTAAATTGTTTTAAGGAATGGCACAGGTATTTGGCAAAATACATTTGGCAGGGCAAAAAAAAAAACAAAACAGAATTAAATTTAAATTATTAGCAGAAACCAAAAACAAAGGAGGGTTTGGAATGCCAGATTTTAGGATCTACTACGAAGCTGCCTGCCCGGTCTGGCTTAAGGAATGGATGATATTGAAGAATACTAAATTATTGGATATTGAGGGCTGGGATAATATAGTGGGGTGGCACAGCTACCTGGATTATAATAAAACAAAAATCCACAATGGATTTCTAAATCACATTATTAGGAAAGCCTTATATGAAGTTTGGGAAAGGAACAAAAAATTATTGGAACCAAAAAGCCGATGGTGGTTGTCACCAATGGAGGCAGAGGCAGTAAAAAGAAAAAATATGGATTCAAATTGGTTGACGTATAAAGATCTTTTAGAGGAAGTAAATAATAGATTACAAATGAAAAAAATTGAAACAATAAGACATACAGGAGTAGGCTGGTTTCAATACCATCAATTAAATGCAATTTTTGAGGAAGACAAGAAAGTAAATGGATTTGATACAAAATTATTTGAAATAGACAAAGAATTGATTATAAATGATGATAAAAATTTATCCAAATTGTATTTATCCAAAATTTATTAACTATTATTAAATTGGCACTTAAAAGACAAAGGGGTTAAAGATGTCATGGTCAAATGGGCACAAAATTTCGGTCATACAATTGATTTAGAAAAATGGGAAAACTTACAGCATGCTATACAATAAAATATTTTTTTAAAAAAAAAATGATGTACAGATGGTATCTTAAATCCTCAAAATTGGCTAAAATGTACCAAAACACCAGTGGAAAGTGTTGGAGGTGCAAACTTAAAGAAGGGAATTTCTCCCATATGTGGTGGACATGCCCTAAAATTAAATAAATTTGGGATACCATTAATGAAGAATTAAATAAAATGTTACAACATACTTTCCCCAATAAGCCAGAAATGTGTTTTTTTTGGCCTATTAACAACAGACATCCCAAAAGAAACAAAAGAATATTTTTGTATGCAGTAATGGACCTGTCCTTGCCACTGCTTGTCCACCAGGTTTCTCTTACGCACAGCAACCCAAGTCATGTGGGCCGGGAGGGGTGGTGGTTTGCAGTGATTTGTAGGAAGTCATTAATTTGCACCAGGTGTCCTATTGGGAAGACCCAGTTCTCCGAGTGCATATTCTTGATGTTGAACAATAGGGGCAGTACAGGATTCCTTTGTACCGATCTCCCCGCTGCACCAAGGATTCCCTGCCCGAACTGCTTCAGGTTGTGGCAGATGTTCTCCTGGAGACACCTAGTTTGGTTGTCCTGGGGAATTATAACATTCACACCGACACAACCTTACAAGGGGCTGATTGGGACTTTGTGGAAAGCATGGCCTCCATGGGGCTGTCCCTGAATAAGTTTGGCCCAACTCATAGCCGCGGACATGCCTTAGACCTGGTGTTCACCTGTTGGTGATCTGACACTAAGTAAAAGCAAATCTAAAGAAGTGCCATGGTCAGATCACTTCCTGGTGCAACTGGACTTCTCCACAACCCTTCCCCTCTGCAGGGACGTGAGACCGATTTGTATGGTCCGCCCCTGCCACTTAATGGATCCAAATGGTTTCCAGAGAGTGGTAGGTGATGTTTTATCCCATGCTGATGGCCTTTCAGCTGATTCCCTGGTGGCCCGTTGGAATGTGGAGTTAACCAGGGCTATTGCCTGTCTGGTTCTGAAGCGCCCTCTCCTATTGCATGGAGCCCGGACAGCCCCGTGGTTTTCCATGGATCTGAGGGCAATGAGACGGCTAGAGCACCAGTGGCAGAAACCTCATTCTGAATCTGACCAGACACGGGTTAGAGCTCAACGTTGAGCCTACCAAATGGCGATAGTGAAGGTGAAGAAAACCTTCTTCACCCCCTCTATTGCATCTGCAGAAAACAGCAGCAGGAGACTCTTTCAGGTGGTTTGCAATTTAATGGAACCATCTCTCCAATGGAGTCCGGTACAGGCCACATGATCTCCTGCAATGATTTTGTAAAGTTTTTTTGCAGATAAAGTCACTCAGATTCAGAGAGGTAGACTCCTCCGTGGGAGCAGGGCGGGGGCTGGTGAGTGCTAGAGTCCTGTCTAGTAAAGTTGTGTGGGATCAATTCCAATCTGTTACGTCTAAGGATGTGGACAGGTTGCTTGGACGAGTGAAACCAACCACCTGTCTCCTTGATCCTTGCCCATACTGGCTCATAAAAGCTAGCCGGGAAGGGCTGGGCGATGGGCTTCGTGGGGTGGTGAATGCTTCCCTCTGTGAGGGAGCCTTCCCAGACACACTGAAAGAAGCAGTTACAGTGGTACCTCTGGTTAAGAACTTAATTTGTTCTGGAGGTCTGTTCTTAACGTGAAACTGTTCTTAACCTGAAGCACAACTTTAGCTAATCGGGCCTCCTGCTGCCGCTGCACGATTTCTGTTCTCATCCTGAAGCAAAGTTCATAACCCGAGATAATATTTCTGGGTTAGCGGAGTATGTAACCTGAAGCGTATGTAACGCGAGGAACCACTGTATTAAACTGCTTCTTAAAAAAATAATAATCTTTAGACCCAGCCGATACGGCCAACTATCGCCCAGTCTCAAATCTTCCATTCTTTGGCAAGGTGATTGAGTGGTTGGTTGCTGAACAACTCCAGGGAAGCCTGGAAGATGTGGACCATTTGGATCCCTTCCAGTTGGGATTCAGGCCTCATCATGCGACTGAAACAGACCTGGGCACGCTGGTCAATGATCTCCGGCGGGCTAGGGACAAAAGTGAGAGCCGTTTCCTAGTTCTGCTTAATCTTTCAGAGGCTTTGACACCATCAGCCATAACATTCTTCTGGACTGTCTAGAGGGGCTGGGGACTGGGAGCTAGAGGCACTGTTATACACTGGGGCGTGTTCAGAGAGTCGTGTTGGGGGTTGAGTGTTCAGACCCCTGGGCTCTCACTTGTGGGGTGCCTCAGGGTTCCGTCCTCTCCCCATGCTTTTCAACATCTATATGAAGCCGCTGGGAGAGATCAGGGGGTTTGGGCTGGGTGTTCACCAGTATGCGGATACCCAGCTCAAACTCTCTTTCAAATCAGAACCAGTGAAGATGGTGAAGGTCCTGTGTGAGTGTCTGGAGGCGGTTGGAGGATGGATGGCAGCTAACATATTAAAGCTGAATGCTGACAAGGCAGGTTTTGGGGGGACAGGAGGCAGGCAGGTTTGGCGGACTCCCTGGTCCTGAATGGGGTAACTGTACCCCTAAAGGACCAGGTGCACAGCCTGGGTGTCATTTTGAACTCATAGCTGTCCATGGAGGCACAGGTCAATTCTGTGTCCAGGGCAGCTGTTCACCAGCTCCATCTGGTACGCAGGCTGAGACCCTATCTGCCCGCAGACTGTCTTGCCAGAGTAGTGCATGCTCCAGTTATCTCCCGCTTGGACTACTGCAATGCGCTCTACATGGGGCTACCTTTGAAGGCGATCCAGAAACAACAACTAATCCAGAATGCGGCAGCTAGACTGGTGACGGGAGGAGAGAGCAAAGTTCTCACTGTGAGACGCAAAGTTACAGGGAACCAGGCAGAGGGCCTTCTCGGTAGTGGTGCCCTCCCTGTGGAATACCTTCCCACCAGATGTCAAAGGAAAAAACAGCCACCAGACTTTAAAAGACATCTGAAGGCTGTCCTGTTTAGGGAAGCTTTTAATATCTGAAGGACTATTGTATTTCAATATTTTGTTGCAAGCCACCAAGGTTGGTAGGGGAAATCCAGCCAGATGGACGTGGTACAAATAAAAAATATTATTATTTTTATTGAAATTCTTTTCTGTACATCCAGAGACTTGACAATCATCTTCACTTCCCAGGAAATCTGGGAAACCTGAGTGGAAAACTCCATACATTTATATGGTTTCCCGCCTGTGTGAATTATCTTATGAATATTAAGGTCTCCACTCCCTCTGAAGCTTTTTCCACGTTTCATAAATCTAGTTTTCCCTATGTGAGTTAGCGGATGTTTCCTAAGGTTCCATATTGACTTAAGCTTCTCCCCTTTGGGAGTTCGCCAGTGTAATGCAAGTTTATCCTCCCTGTTGAAGCTCTTCCCACATTCAATACATTCCAATGGTTTCTCCCCTGTATGAGGTAGTTGGTGTATTCTAAGTGCTCTACTTTTGCTGCAGCTCCTTCCACATGCCATACATTAAAATGGTTTCTTCCCCATGTGTTAGTTGGTGTCTTATAAGGTGTCGATATGGATTGAAGCTCTTTCCACATTCTTTCCACATTCAATGGCTTCTCCCGTGTGAGTTTGTTGATGTTTCCTAAGGTGTCCATTTTCACTGAAGCACTTTCCACATTCAGTACATTTAAATGGTTTCTCCCCCGTGTGAGTTAGTTGATGGCTTCTAAGGTGTCCATTTTGACTGAAGCTCTCCATATTCAATACATTTAAATGGTTTCTCTCCTGTGTGAGTTCGTTGGTGTATTCTAAGGTGTCCATATTAACTGAAGCTCTTTCCACATTCAATACATTTAAATGGTGTCTCCCCTGTGTGAGATTGTTGGTGTATTCTAACTGTTCCATTTTGACTGAAGCTCTTTCCACATTCAATACATTCAAATGGTTTCTCCCCTGTGTGAGTTCGTTGGTGTCTTCCAAGGTTTCCACTTTCACTGAAGCTCTTTCCACATTCAATACATTTAAATGGTTTCTCCCCGTGTGAATTTTTTGGTGTTTTGTAAGGTTTCCATATCGACTGAAGCTGTTTCCACATTCAATACATTTAAATGGTTTCTCCCCTGTATGAGTTCGTTGATGGCTTCTAAGGTGTCCATTTCGACTGAAGCTCTTTCCACATTCAATACATTCAAATGGTTTCTGCCCTGTGTGAGTTCGTTGGTGTCTTCTAAGATTTCCACTTTCACTGAAACTCTTTCCGCATTCAGTACATTCAAATGGTTTCTCCCCCGTGTGAGTTCGGTGGTGTACTCTAAGGTCTCCACTTTCACTGAAGCTCTTTCCACATTAAGTACATTTAAATGGTTTCTCCCCCGTGTGAGTTAGTTGATGGCTTCTAAGGTGTCCATTGTGACTGAAGCTCTTTCCACATTCAATACATTTAAATGGTTTCTCCCCCGTGTGAGTTTGTTGATGTTTTCTTAGTGCTCCACTTTCACTGAAGCTCTTTCCACATTCAATACATTTAAATGGTTTCTCCCCTGTGTGAGTTCGTTGGTGCATTCTAAGTGTTCCATATCGACTGAAGCACTTTCCACATTCAATACATTTAAATGGTTTCTCCCCCGTGTGAGTTAGTTGGTGTATTCTAAGTGTTCCATATCGACTGAAGCACTTTCCACATTCAATACATTCAAATGGTTTCTCCCCCGTGTGAGTTCGTTGGTGTAGTCTAAGGTGTTCACTTCTACTGAAGCTCTTTCCACATTCCATACATTTAAATGGTTTCTCCCCCGTGTGAGTTCGTTGATGTTTTCTTAGTGCTCTACTTTCACTGAAGCTCTTTCCACATTCAATACATTTAAATGGTTTCTCCCCCGTGTGAGTTCGTTGGTGTATTCTAAGCTTTCCATTTCGACTGAAGCACTTTCCACATTCAATACATTCAAATGGTTTATCCACTGTGTGAGTTCCTTGATGTTTCTTTCGCTAATCAGTACATTTAAATGGTTTCTCCTCTATGTGAATTCGTTTTTGTGTCCTCAGTCTTCCACTGTGACTAAAACACATCCCACATTCCATGCATTTAAACTGTTTCTTTGTTCTTCCCAATGAATTCACAGATGGCTCAATAGAATTCTGGCCATCATCTTCCTCACCTGTTTGGGAGTGGGGGAGGGGGAAGAGAATCCTGTTAAGACTTTCAAGAAAGACAAGAAAGGAACTGAACACATGTCAGTCCCAGTATGTAACTTCTCTTATTTTAACACTGTCTCCTTTCTCTACTGTCCTCTCTATGTTCCAAACTTTTAGGAATGCAGGTGAGATAATGGCAAGAAAAACACATGATCACTCCATTTACACTTAATAAACTGCATTATTTTATACTTTATGGTGGAACTGGCTTCTTAGACACATCTCTGTACAGTGGTACTTCGGGTTAAGTACTTAATTCGTTCCGGAGGTCCGTTCTTAACCTGAAACTGTTCTTAACCTGAAGCAGCACTTTAGCTAATGGGGCCTCCTGCTGCTGCTGCGCCACCAGAGCACTATTTCTGTTCTCATCCTGAAGCAAAGTTCTTAACCTGAAGCACTATTTCTGGGTGAGCAGAGTCTGTAACCTGAAGTGTATGTAACCTGAAGCGTATGTAACCTGAGGTACCACAGTATTTCTCTTTTTCCAGGGAGGAAATGATCACAGGCTCGAATAGCAGTCTCTCCTATGACTAAGAAGTCAAACTTTTGTGTTACTCTGCCACATGTAAGTGTAAAAATATTGCAATATCTTAGAACAGGCATCCCCAAACTTGGCCCTCCAGATGTTTTGGGACTACAATTCCCATCAGCCCGACCACTGTTCCTGTTAGCTAGGGATGATGGACGTTGTAGTCCCAAAACATCTGGAGGGCCAAGTTTGGGGATGCCTGTATCAGAACATAAGAAGAGCCTGCTCGATTGGGCAAAGGCCCACCTAGTCCAGCATCCTGTTCTCAAGGTGGCCAGCTAGATGCCTGTGGGAAACCAGCAAGCAGGATTTGAGTACAAGAGCCTTCTGCCTTCCTGTGCTTTCCAGGAACTAGTATCAAGAAGCATTATTGCCTAGGACCACGAGGGCAGAGCACAGACATCAGTCTAATCCTCTTTTCAAGCTATCCAAGGGACAAAATCAAGGATTAAAAATAAATTATTAACAGATGTAAGAGAGAGAGGAGGTTTTGCCCTGCCGGGTTTGAAACTTTATTATGAAACATCCTGTATCTGCTAGAACCGGGAATGGATTACATTGGAAAACACAGATACTGTATTTCAGATCTGGAAGGACACAAATAATGGATAGCATGCATATTTATGGTAGGAAAAGGCCAAGGTGCATAGAGCTTTTCAGAATCATATAGTAAGAAAATCAATTTTTAGGATATGGGAGAAGTATAAAAAAGTGCTTGAGTAAAAAACACCCTGGTAGCTTTCCCCCTTGGAAGCAATTATCTCTGAAAAAAATTGAATATGAGAAGTAATCAGCTGACTTATACAGAGCTGTTAACTGAAGTTGAAAACCAACTGAAATTAAAAGATTTTGAAGAGATAAGGAAAGCTGTAACTGACAGGTTACAGTACCATTAACTAAATGATATCTTAAAGATAGACAAAAAGAAAGGTTTAATTATGAGACATCACAATTTCAAAAAGAACTCTTAGGAAGTAACATAAAAGATCTCTCTAAAATGTATAACTTGCTCCTAGAACGGTATACAAAGGATGAACAGGTCAAATCAGTTATGACTAAATGGGAAAGGGACTTAGGATATAACATACAAATGGCAGATTGGGAGAGGCTTTGGAAAACAAATCTGAAATTCACAGCTTGCTGTTCATTGAAAGAAAACTACATGAAAATGATGTACTGATGGTATTTGACTCCTAGTAAGTTCAAATATCTAATAATAATAATAATAATAATTTATTATTTGCACCCCGCCCATCTGGCTGGGTTTCCCCAGCCACTCTGGGCGGCTTCCAACAAAGATGAAAAATACACTAAAATGTCACATATTAAAAACTTCCCTGAACAGGGCTGCCTTCAGATGTCTTCTGAATGTCAGGTAGTTGTTTATCGCTTTGACATCTGATGGGAGGGCGTTCCACAGGGCGGGCGCCACTACCGATAAGGCCCTCTGCCTGGTTCCCTGTAACTTGGCCTCTCGCAGTGAGGGAACCGCCAGAAGGCCCTCGGAGCTGGACCTCAGTGTCCGGGCAGAAAGATGGGGGAGGATACTCTCCTTTAAATATACTGGACCGAGGCCGTTTAGGGCTTTAAAGGTCAGCACCAACACTTTGAATTGTGCTCGGAAATGTACTGGGAGCCAATGTAGGTCTTTCAAGACCGGTGTTATATGGTCTCGGTGGCCGCTCCCAGTCACCAGTCTAGCTGCCGCGTTCTGGATTAGTTGTAGTTTCCGGGTCACCTTCAAAGGTAGCCCCACGTAGAGCGCATTGCAGTAGTCCAAGCGGGAGATAACCAGAGCATGCACCACTCTGGCGAGACAGTCTGCAGGCAGATAGGGTCTCAGCCTACGTACCAGATGGAGCTGGTAAACAGCTGCCCTGGATACAGATTTGACCTGTGCCTCCATGGACAGCTGTGAGTCCAAAATGACTCCCAGTCTCCGCACCTGGTCCTTCAGGGGCACAGTTACCCCATTTAGGACCAGGGAATCCTCCACACCTGCCCGCCTCCTGTCCCCCAAAAACAGTACTTCTGTCTTGTCAGGATTCAACCTCAATCTGTTAGCCGCCATCCATCCTCCAACCGCCTCCAGACACTCACACAGGACCTTCACCGCCTTCACTGGTTCTGATTTAAAAGAGAGGTAGAGCTGGGTATCATCTGCATACTGATGAACACCCAGCCCAAACCTCCTGATGATCTCTCCCAGTGGCTGCATGTAAATGTTGAAAAGCATGGGGGGAGAGGACAGAACCCTGAGGCACCCCACAAGTGAGAGCCCAGGGGTCTGAACACTCATCCCCCACCACCACTTTCTGAACACGGCCCAGGAGGGAGGAGCGGAACCACTGTATGACAGTGCCCCCAGTTCTCAGCCCCTCAAGACGGTCCAGAAAGATGTTATGGTCGATGGTATCAAACGCCGCTGAGAGATCCAGCAGAACTAGGAAACAGCTCTCACTTTTGTCCCTAGCCCGCCGGAGATCATCAACCAGTGCGACCAAGGCAGTTTCAGTCCCATGATGAGGCCTGAATCCCGACTGGAAGGGATCCAAATAGTCCACATATTCCAGGCATGCCTGGAGTTGTTCAGCAACCACTCGCTCAATCACCTTGCCCAAGAATGGAAGATTTGAGACTGGGCGATAATTGGCCATCGTGGCCGCATCTAAAGATGGTTTTTAAAGAAGCGGTTTAATAACCGCCTCTTTCAGCGGGTCTGGGAAGGCTCCCTCACGGAGGGAAGCATTCACCACCCCACGAAGCCCATCGCTCAGTCCTTTCCGGCTAGCTTTTATAAGCCAGGATTGGCAAGGATCCAGGAGACAGGTGGTTGGCTTCACTCGTCCAAGCAGCCTGTCCACATCCTCAGAGGTAACAGATTGGAATTGATCCCACACAACCTGACTAGACAGGATTCTAGCACTCTCCCGCCCTGGCCCTGCTCCCACGGTGGAGTCTACTTCTTCCCGAATCTGAGCGATTTTATCTGCAAAAAACTTTGCGAAATCATTGCAGGAGAACATGTGGCCCGTACTGGGCCCCGATGTCGCAGGTGGTTCCGCTAAATTGTGAACCACCTGAAAAAGTCTCCTGCTGCTGTTTTCTGCAGATGCAATAGAGGCGGCGAAGAAAGTCTTCTTCGCTGTCGCTATCGCCACTTGGTAGGCTCGACGTTGAGCTCTAACCTGTGTCCGGTCAGCTTCAGAATGAGTTATCCGCCACCGGCGCTCTAGCCGTCTCAATGATTGTTTCATTGCCCTCAGATCCGTGGAAAAACACGGGGCTGCCCGGGCTCCATGCAATCGGAGAGGGCGCTTCGGAGCCAAACAGTCAATAGCCTTGGTTAACTCCACATTCCAGCGGGCCACCAGGGAATTGGCTGAAAGGCCATCAACATGGGATAAAGCATCCCCTACCACTCTCTGGAAACCACTTGGATCCATTAAGTGGCGGGGGCGGACCATCTGAATCGGTCCCACCTCCCTGCAGGAAATGTAAAGAAGAAGTGGGTACCTTTTGCTATATGTGGTGGTCATGTAAGATAACAGTATCATTTGGGCAAATGGTATATAATGAATTTAAAAAAAATGTTTAAAATAAAATTTGTTAAGAACCTAGAAGCTTATTTATTTGGAATTACAGGTACTGAGATCCCAAAAGACCAGGAAAGACTATGTATGCGACAACAGCTGCACAGATGTTATTATCCCAACGATGGAAAGATGCAATAATCCCAACTAGGGAAGACTGGCAAGCCAAACTGCTGGACTCTGCCGAAATGGCAAAATTAGCCGCGAGACTCAGGAATCAAGAAAACAAGGACTTTAAAAAAGATTTGGGAAATTTTATAATTTACCTATGAGATTATTGCACGCAAATCAAAACGTTAGCTGGACTTTAGGAATCACTTGTAAATAAGTTTATGGACAATTTAGATAAATGAAAACTGTGGAGAATGTATCTATACTGTGGTAACTCGTGTTACGTAACCCTCTGGAACTTTTACGGGTTTCGCCGCTCGCACGCATAGAAGCACTCTATTGTTCCGCGTGCGTGTGCAGAAGCGGTCCTCCGGTTTGCAAAAACCTCGGGATCCGTCTGGAGCTCCGGAACAGATCCTGTTTGCAACCGGAGGTACCACTGTATGTAGTTTTGGAAAAATTAATATAAGGACCCATGAAAGGGATGGAGCGAAGTCATGTGATTCAGAGAATCTCATGAAATGATTATATAAATGTCTTTGATATAAACTTGTATTTGTAAAAACCAATAAAAATATTTCAAAAAAAGGAAGTCCATAGATAGACTATGCTTCTGTTGATTCATCATTTGCAAACCCAGAAATAGGTGCTCCTGTTTTTGAAGTTTGCCTTGGAAACCGAACGTGCTCCTGAGCTTCCATTTTTACTGTTGCGCAGCAAATTTAAGTGCCCCCCACCCTAATTAAGGCTTTTTTTCATTCCGTTTTACCCTTGAGCAGCTAATTTAAGTCATCTCCATCATAATCAAGGTTTTTTTCATCCCATTTGTTCCCTTGCACAGCTAATTTAAGCTCCCCCACCCCCAATCAATATTAAAGCCGTTTCTGGTTGCAGTGTTCTGAGGTGATATTTGCTGCTTTAGTTTTTTCCTATTTTTTGCGTTTTTGTGGCTTTTTCATTTTTGACTGAAGCTTGTTTTTTGTTTTATGATTGATTGATTGATTGACTGTGGAAAGGGATAAAAGGTCCCAATTCAAACAATGACTATCATCAATGTAGGTACGATTTTTTTTTAAAATTTTTATCATCTACAATACTGTCTTATTTATTTTATGGTACAGAACATTGATTATTGCTTTCATTTTATGGATCAATGGTCTTGTTAGATAGTAAAATTCATGTTAAATTGCTGTTTTAGGGGTTGTTTTTAAAAGTCTGGAACGGATTAATCCATTTTGCATTACTTTCTACGGGACAGCACGCCTTGGTTTTGGAACGCTTTGGTTTTGGAAGACTTCTGGAACTGATTAAGTTTGAGACCCGAGGTACCACTGTAACTCCTAAGATTTAAAATCCTGGAGGGAGAAAATCTGCCCCCACTCCTTTCTGAAAGGGATTCAAGAAACAAAGAGCTGCTTTGGAGAAGGCCTCACAACTTCCTTCTTCCTGTCAGGAACTTCCTTCCATTTGTCTCCTCTCCATCTTTTCCTCTTTCTTCCTCCACCATCCATCTATCCCTGTCCCCATCTCCTCTCCCCTGGAACTCACCAGATTTCTCCAAGGGTCCTGGGAGGGAATGCTCAGAGGTTGTGGGGAGGGATGCGGGAGACAGCCTGACCAGGTCAGCCGTCCATCTTCCTCCTTCCATCCTGGCCAGGGTTGCAGGTTCAGTCTCAGCTAGGTTTGCAGCTTCAGCTTCCTGAAGAGCGCAGAAGCCAGAGCAAGTTGAGGCTTCCTGGGAGGGAGAGAAGAAGCAGCCAAGGGAGTCTGAGAGCCCCTGCAGGGATTCTCCTGCCCAAGACATTCTGCTGCCCCTGGAGAAGCCCCAATTGGGCACCCCCTTCCCAAGAGCCCCCACCCATTTTCAAACACCTTTGGCAATTCCTTTCATCACCTCCTTTCCTTTTTTATTTATTTTATTTTGTTTATTCAATCTTTATTGGTTTAAAATCAACACACACACACACACACACACACACAACAAAAGCTTATAAATAGGAAAAGAAACAAAACAAAAAAGCACAATACATTTCTTACAAAAAGAAATAGAATACATCACGAATGCACAAAATTATTCCAGCCATCAACTTCCGACTTCCTTGATATAGGTTATTTATTTTCTTAATTAGGTAAAGGTACCCCTGACCATTAGGTCCAGTCACGCATGATTCTGGGGTTGCAATGCTCATCTCGCTTTACTGGCCGAGGAGCCGGCGTTTGTCTGCACTCAGCTTCCGGGTCATGTGGACAGCATGACTAAGCCGCTTCTGGCGAACCAGAGCAGTGAATGAAAACGCCATTTACCCTCCTGCCAGAGCGGTACCTATTTATCTACTTTTGATGTGCTTTCGAACTGCTAGGTTGGCAATTTTCTTAATTGCGTGCCTCTATTTTTCAATAAACTTTATCTTTGTTAAATCTTGTCTGAATTCTTTGTACCTTATTCAATTCCGAGAGTTATTCGAAGCATTTTAAAGTTTTTATAAGGGGACACTGTTCTTTTAAATATTGTCTATAGAGCTCCCATTCCCTTTTAAACTTTTGGGTCGATCGATTTCTTATCTTTTCCGTCATCTATGCTACTTCTATATATTGAAGGATTTTTACTTGCCACTCCTCTTCTGATGGAATTTTATCTCCTTTCTATCCCTGGCAATCAGCATCCCCACTGCAGTTGTTGCATACAAAAAGACCCCTTCCCAGGAGCCCCTGCCCATTTTCAAACACCTTTGGCAATTCCTTTCACCTGCCTGTCCCACCTCCCTTCTTAAGGCTGGCATGGTATGCACATTAGTGGCCTGAGAGTAGATCCCATGGAACTTAAGAGTTAATCTGCAAAGGACTGCTCTGAATACATGGGTGGCCCTTGCATGGAGAAGAAGGAAGCCCCTTGCTTGCATCTGGACCCCTGGGAGAGGCGGTAGATCCGCCCACTGCTCCCTCTGCCCTCGCTGCCTCCTCCTCTGCCCTCCTGCCCTGCAAACACCCTTTGCTCTTTTTGCACAGGGGAGAGAGGCAGGAAGAGCCTTCAAACCCATCCGTTTCCTCCTCTGCAGCCCAGTGAGAGGGGAAGGAGCTGCAGCGCCTGGTTCACTTCAGATACACACATGGTTTACTGGGATTGTGAATGAACACGTCCTCTGCCTTCCATGCGGTGGGAGTGGGGGGGGGGTTAAAAGTGGTGAGGAGCCCCCCTCCAGTCCTTTTGGGAAACAGGAACTTTGGTCAGGAGTAAACAAGTTAGATGGCAAGTTCACAACAGAAGCACTTTGGAGCACTTCTTGCTCTTACTATGTGTTTGGACCTAGAGGACAACATACACGTTTACACCACGGGACTCCTTAAAGAGGGCATTTCTTTCTATTTGAAGGCCATTTCTACAAAACAGTAGTCTTATGATGGCAGCCCTGTACAGGAAAGTTTTTCATGTTTTAATTTTTTTGGTGTTTTTGTTGGAAGCCGCCCAGAGTGGCTGAGGCAACGGAATCAGATGGGCAGGCTGCAAGTAATGAATTATTTATTATTATTATCATTATCATTATTATCATTCCCTCCTAAGCCCATCCTGTTATGCATGCTGATCAGAGACTTTGTCCAAACCCGCCCCCCCTTGAACGCAAGAGGGCTTCCTATTTTTACAGCTATTCTTCACATTTCTATACTGCCATTTCTCCAAAGATCACAGGGCAGCTTACAAGAGAAAAACACAGAGATGCATAGCAGAGTAAGAAATAAAAACGACAACCCCCCCCCCATGCAGGTGTGCAGTCCATAGATTGTTTAATGAGCCAAACACCTGGGAGAAGAGCAAGGCTTTCGCCTGTTGCCTAAAGATAAGGTCCTCCTCCGAGGGGTCTTCTGCTGGGGTATAAATATTAAATTTAATTAATACTATTAAGGCGATCCTGGCCAGCAGTGTCCACCCCTCTCCTCTTGCCCGCCTCCTTCCCTGCAACTCCCTTTGTACTAGATCCATGCAGGAGGAAGCTTCTCCCCCCCCCTTTCAAGGCCCCCCGTTTAAGAAAACAGCTCCCTTTCCTCCCTTCTCTTCTCCTCGTCCCGGGGCTTCTCATCCTGGACCCCCTCGCAAAGCCCCTTCCCTCCTTCCCCGCCATTGGCGAAATTACCCGACATCCTGGGCAGCGGGGGCGGGAATGGGAGCCCCCGCGTGGGAGGCAGGGAGTGACGCGCTTAATTAGGAGGCTTGATTAGGAAGCAGCCCCTCCTCAGCCTCCGCAGGATGCAGCCCCGCTTCCCGCCTCCTTCCCTCCTTCCTTTGCAAGCCCGGAGATTATCTCTGCTGGTGAAGCCGGAAGTGGAGGCAACTCTGAGGAGGAAGGAGAGGTTTCTCTCCACGCTCAGCCTCTTGTCTGTTATTTGATAATCGGGGGAAGGAAAACCTTGTAGCCCCCAACCAATGGGAAGGCGAGGGAGGGAACGTGTGCATGGGGAATCTAAGCTCTTTCTTTGCCCCAGCTGGACTGTGCCTGCTTTGGACCCCCACTTTTGCAAGAACGTATTGTCCTCAATAAGGGACGCGGCTGGAGCTGTGGGTTAAACCCCAGAGCCTAGGGCTTGGCGATCTGAAGGTTGGCAGTTTGAATCCCCGCGAAGGGGTGAGCTCCCGTTGCTCTGTTTCTGCTCCTGCCAACCTAGCAATTGGAAAGCACAAAGTGCAAGAAGATAAATAGGTACCTGTTGTAAACAAAATCTGCCCTTATGCTCTTATGGGGGACACAAGAGCCTTTACAGAGTCCTTTGCTGGTTCTCCATCAGTGGGAGAAAATAACAGAGGCCAACCAGAGAATATTGAGAAGCAAAGCAGCTAGTAAGCCTGATCTTTATTGAACTGTTGCAACAGGTTGCTCCCCTCACATGGAGGAGAAAGGAGGAGGACCTCGAACAAAGGTGTGCCTGCCCTTATATAGCCCTTTTAAATTCCCTGCCCTGGAGCTCAAGACCACCCCTCCTCCATACATCATACATACATCACAGAAAAGGCTGTCTACAACACTAATTTGAATGTTGTTGCTTTTCCTGTGCTGCTCCAGACATGTGGTCCACATATCTATGTATGTGTTTGCTTCGTACATTTATGAACATTTATTATATATATAAGACCTTAAAATTTTTTATTACATTTTTATTACCTCCAGCGGGAAGGTAAATGGCGTTTCCGTGCACTGCTCTGGTTCGCCAGAGGCGGCCTAGTCATGCTGGCCACATGAACCAGAAGCCGTACACTGGCTCCCTCGGCCAGTAAAGTGAGATGAGCACCACAGCCCCAGTGTCATCCTCGACAGGACCTCACGGTCAGGGGTCCCTTTACCTTTACCTATTGTCCTCAATAAACTCTTTATTTGCTTCTCCAATATTCTTCAGATGGTATTTTAAGGAAGGGGATCAAGGGTCTCAGGACCCACTTCTTACAATGTATGAAGTAGCTTATGGCAAAAGAGCCTAATAACTCTTCTGGGTAACTGAATAAAGTATTTTAATAAATATTTAAATGGAGAACATATTTTGCCTTCTCATGTTCATGCAAACATGGTTCTACTCCAATCTCACTTAGTATTAAATTGTGGGTGGACATAGCAGACGCCACAGAGATTTCTCCAAGTGGTTCTTTATAGTAAGCTGGAACTGAACTGAACAGCAAACAGCTCAGCCGGCCTGCTTTTATATGCAGCCGGCTGTCAACACTGTAACAACCACCACCCAGGGTTTCCCGCCTAAATTGACTGATATGGACCCGCGTGAAAACTATATACACAATACCCCTGGTAGCCAGGGTGAGAACCTCAATACATAACACTTAGTCCCCACTTCCACCTCAGCAAAGAATTTTTTATACAAAAATCTCCTGGACAGAAGTCTCCCTGTTTGCATTATAGGGAGGGCTCAGCCTCTGTCTACCTTATTGCACTCTCAATACACACAATGTCTTTTGCAGTGTCCTGTATTCTCCTCAAAGAAACACTCCAGAGACACAGGAACAGTGACAGGCAGCAGCAGCAGCAGTTTGACAGATTAGCTGGGGATTTTGATCCAGAAACGGAGCAGACGGGGAAAGGTTAAGCAGAATCCCCCCCCCCCCGGGTCACCCTTAGGTGTGCTCAGTCTCCACCTGCTTCATGACTCCACCTTGCATGAGAAAGAAGGATGGAGCTCCAGGAAACAGGAAGTGGTCCTTAAACCAGCCAGGACATCTCACCATCACAGACAGATCCAGCCTCATGCTGGGGAGTCAGGGGTGCCCCTGGGATGGCAGAGAGAGGAGGGGAAGGGGCCAGGGACAGAAGGAATGGCAGGGCTCCAGATGCTCCCTTGAACCCCCCTCCCTTGACACCAAGGGGAGCTCCTCTTCTGGGGCTGAAAGCATTGGCGTGGAGGAAGGGGGGAAAGGAAACGTAAAACGCACACACCCATGGACACACTAAGAACTGAGTGAAAATAGGCCTGGCTGAAGGAATAGCTACTGGAGAGCATAATGTGGGGTGTAGCTGTAATGCTCACCTGCCTCCCTGGACTGGTCTTTTCTTGGGGTCAGGGAGCTGGGGTGGTTGATCAACATGAACTTCCCAGGTTACCTTTCCTTCGGGTCAGCTATTCCAGCTCTTGTCTCCTCCCCATTTCTTTCTTTATGGAGGGGCAAATGTAGATGCAACTACAACCCACAACTGGAATCTTCTGGGTGCACTGTGCTCCCCCCCCCCTGATAGAATAGATTCCCTCAGCATCTTGCCCCACCTCCCAGAAGGCAAGTTTATCTGGTTAAAGTGTTTGTTTTGGACAGCATTATATGGTATTTCTCTGAAGGATAGACTCTTTATATCAGCAGTAATAAATATATTAATTGGGTTATGAATAACAGTTTAGATACTGTCAACATGAACTTTGTCTGAGGTTTCAGACATACCCATTTTGTTCAAGAAAAGATGCAGAAAATACTTTTCCTTTTTTATTCTGGGCACTTGACTTCTCCCATCCTGCTACCATCCAGGCAAACGTTTGGGGCAGATATCCAGGGCCCCACTCAGCAGCAGCAACAGGGGGAGGAGGAGGCCCCACAAACATTTCCCACATTTTGAAGTTAAATGATACAAAGCCCCTTCAAGAATTGACAGAAGCTTACCAGGGTACATTTCCTACTAGTCAGCTATTCAGGCTCCTTATTCCTCCCCATTTCTTTATGGAGGGTCAAAGGCTATGCACTTTGTATAGACGTAACTACAACCAACATCTGGTATCGTCTGGGTGTACCAAGGTGGCCTCCTTCTGCATTGTCAGCAAGTGACAAGTGAGATCTGGATGGAGCCCGGACAGCCCCGTGGTTTTCCATGGATCTGAGGGCAATGAGACGGCTACAGCACCAGTGGCAGAAACCTCATTCTGAATCTGACCAGACACGGGTTAGAGCTCAACGTTGAGCCTACCAAATGGCGATAGCGAAGGTGAAGAAAACCTTCTTCACCCCCTCTATTGCATCTGCAGAAAACAGCAGCAGGAGACTCTTTCAGGTGGTTAGCAATTTAATGGAACCATCTCTCCAATGGAGTCCGGTACGGGGCACATGATCTCCTGCAATGATTTTGCAAAGTTTTTTTTGCAGATATAGTCACTCAGATTCAGAGAGGTAGACTCCTCCGTGGGAGCAGGGCGGGGGCTGGTGAGTGCTAGAGTCCTGTCTAGTCAAGTTGTGTGGGATCAATTCCAATCTGTCCAAGGATGTGGACAGGCTGCTTGGACGAGTGAAACCAACCACCTGTCTCCTTGATCCTTGCCCATCTTGGCTCATAAAAGCTAGCTGGGAAGGGCTGGGCGATGGGCTCCGTGGGGTGGTGAATGCTTCTCTCTGTGAGGGAGCCTTCCCAGACACACTGAAAGAGGCAGTTACAGTGGTACCTCTGGTTAAGAACTTAATTCATTCTGGAGGTCTGTTCTTAATGTGAAACTGTTCTTAACCTGAAGCACAACTTTAGCTAATCGGGCATCCTGTTGCCGCTGCACGATTTTTTTTTTCATGCATAATTTTTATTAATTTGCGTAGTACAAAATACAAAATACAAAAAAAATTTCAATTCTCATTTTCACAGGCTTTTGGTATGACTTCCTTCAACCTTTCCACAAATCATCCGTTATAATCTTTATGAGGGTTCGCATTTCCTGTTTTATATTGCCATTATTCATCACAAGCCGCTGCACGATTTCTGTTCTCATTCTGAAGCAAAGTTCTTAACTTGAGATAATATTTCTGGGTTAGCGGAGTATGTAACCTGAAGCGTATGGCACCGAGGCACCACTGTATTAAACTGCTTCTTAAAAAAATAATAATCTTTAGACCCAGCCAATACGGCCAACTATCGCCCAGTCTCAAATCTTCCATTCTTTCGCAAAGTGAATGAGTGGGTGGTTGCTGAACAACTCCAGGGAAGCCTGGAAGATGTGGACCATTTGGATCCCTTCCAGTTGGGATTCAGGCCTCATCATGCGACTGAAACAGACCTGGGCACGCTGGTCGATGATCTCCGGCGGGCTAGGGACAAAGGTGAGAGCTGTTTCCTTGTTCTGCTGGATCTTTCAGAGGCTTTTGACATCATCAGCCATTAACATTCTTCTGGACCGTCTAGAGGGGCTGGGGGCTAGAGGCACTATTATACACTGGGGCGTGTTCAGAAAGTGGTGTTGGGGGATGAGTGTTCAGACCCCTGGGCTCTCACTTGTGGGGTGCCTCAGGGTTCCGTCCTCTCCCCATGCTTTTCAACATCTATATGAAGCCGCTGGGAGAGATGAGGGGGTTTGGGCTGGGTGTTCATCAGTATGCGGATACCCAGCTCAACCTCTCTTTCAAATCAGAACCAGTGAAGATGGTGGAAGTTCTGTGTGAGTGTCTGGAGGCGGTTGGAAGATGGCGGCTAACATATTAAAGTTGAATGCTGATAAGGCAGGTGTCCTGTTTTGGGGGGACAGGAGGCAGGCAGGTGTGGAGGACTCCCTGGTCCTGAATGGGGTAACTGTGCCCCTGAAGGACCAGGTGCGCAGACTGGGAGTCATTTTGGACTTATAGCTGTCCATGGAGGCACAGGTCAATTCTGTGTCTAGGGCAGCTGTATACCAGCTCCATCTGGTACGCAGGCTGAGACCTTATCTGCCCGCAGACTGTCTTGCCAGAGTAGTGCATGCTCCAGTTATTTCCCGCTTGGACTACTTCAATGTGCTCTACGTGGGGCTACCTTTGAAGGTGATCCGGAAACAACTAATCCAGAATGCGGCAGCTAGACTGGTGACGGGAGGAGAGAGCAAAGTTTTCACTGTGAGAAGCAAAGTTACAGGGAACCAGGCAGAGGGCCTTCTCGGTAGTGGTGCCCTCCCTGTGGAATACCTTCCCACCAGATGTCAAAGGAAAAAACAGCCACCAGACTTTAAAAGACATCTGAAGGCTGTCCTGTTTAGGGAAGCTTTTAATATCTGAAGGGCTATTGTATTTCAATATTTTGTTGGAAGCCACCAAGATTGGCGGGGGAAATCCAGCCAGATGGACGTGGTACAAATAAAAAATATTATTATTATTATTGAAATTCTTTTCTGTACATCCAGAGACTTGACAATCATCTTCACTTCCCAGGAAATCTGGGAAACCTGAGCGGAAAACTCCATACATTTATATGGTTTCCCGCCTGTGTGAATTATCTTATGAATATTAAGGTCTCCACTCCCTCTGAAGCTTTTTCCACGTTTCATAAATCTAGTTTTCCCTATGTGAGTTAGCGGATGTTTCCTAAGGTTCCATATTGACTTAAGCTACTCCCGTTTGGGAGTTCGCCAGTGTAATGCAAGTTTATCCTCCCTGTTGAAGCTCTTCCCACATTCAATACGTTCCAATGGTTTCTCCCCTGTATGAGTTAGTTGGTGTATTCTAAGTGCTCTACTTTTGCTGAAGCTCCTTCCACATGCCATACATTAAAATGGTTTCTTCCCCATGAGTTAGTTGGTGTCTTATAAGGTGTCGATATGGACTGAAGCTCTTTCCACATTCTTTCCACATTCAGTACATTTAAATGGCTTCTCCCCCCGTGTGAGTTCGTTGGTGTATTCTAAGGTGTTCACTTCTACTGAAGCTCTTTCCACATTCCATACATTTAAGTGGTTTCTCGCCTGTGTGAGTTCGTTGGTGTATTCTAAGTGTTCCATTGTGACTGAAGCACTTTCCACATTCAGTACATTTAAATGGTTTCTCCCCCGTGTGAGTTAGTTGATGGCTTCTAAGGTGTCCATTTTGACTGAAGCACTTTCCACATTCAATACATTTAAATGGTTTCTCTCCTGTGTGAGTTCGTTGATGGCTTCTAAGGTGTCCATATTGACTGAAGCTCTTTCCACATTCAATACATTTAAATGGTGTCTCCCCTGTGTGAGTTTGTTGGTGTATTCTAAGTGTTCTATTTCGACTGAAGCTCTTTCCACATTCAGTACATTCAAAAGGCTTCTGCCCCGTGTGATTTCGTTGGTGTACTCTAAGTGTTCCACTTTCACTGAAGCTCTTTCCACATTCAGTACATTCAAATGGTTTCTCCCCCGTGTGAGTTCGGTGGTGTATTCTAAGTGTTCCATATCGACTGAAGCACTTTCCACATTCAATACATTTAAATGGTTTCTCCCCTGTGTGAGTTTGTTGGTGTAGTCTAAGGTGTTCACTTCTACTGAAGCTCTTTCCACATTCCATACATTTAAATGGTTTCTCCCCCGTGTGAGTTTGTTGATGTTTTCTTAGTGCTCCACTTTCACTGAAGCTCTTTCCACATTCAATACATTTAAATGGTTTCTCCCCTGTGTGAGTTCGTTGGTGTATTCTAAGTGTTCCATATTGACTGAAGCACTTTCCACATTCAATACATTTAAATGGTTTCTCCCCCGTGTGAGTTAGTTGGTGTCTTCTAAGGTGTCCATATTGGCTGAAGCACTTTCCACATTCAATACATTCAAATGGTTTCTCCCCCGTGTGAGTTCGTTGATGTTTTCTTAGTGCTCCACTTTCACTGAAGCTCTTTCCACATTCAATACATTTAAATAGTTTCTCCCCCGTGTGAGTTCGTTGGTGTATTCTAAGCTTTCCATTTCGACTGAAGCACTTTGCACATTCAATACATTCAAATAGTTTATCCACTGTGTGAGTTCCTTGATGTTTCTTTTGATAGTCAGTACATTTAAATGGTTTCTCCTCTATGTGAATTCGTTGATGTGTCCTCAGTCTTCCACTGTGACTAAAACACACCCCACATTCCAGGCATTTAAACTGTTTCTTTGTTTTTCCCAATGAATTCACAGATGGCTCTATAGAATTCTGGCCATCATCTTCCTCACCTGTTTGAGAGTGGGGGAGGGGGAAGAGAATCCTGTTAAGACTTTCAAGAAAGACAAGAAAGGAACTGAACACGTCAGTCCCAGTATGTACCTTCTCTTATTTTAACACTGTCTCCTTTCTCCACTGTCCTCTCTATGTTCCAAACTTTTAGGAATGCAGGTGAGATAATGGCAAGAACAACACATGATCACTCCATTCACACTTAATAAACTGCATTATTTTATAATTTATGGTGGAACTGGCTGCTTAGACACATCTCTGTACAGTGGTACCTCAGGTTAAGTACTTAATTCGTTCCGGAGGTCCGTTCTTAACCTGAAACTGTTCTTAACCTGAAGCAGCACTTTAGCTAATGGGGCCTCCTGCTGCTGCTGCGCCACCGGAGCAATATTTCTGTTCTCATCCTGAAGCAAAGTTCTTAACCTGAAGCTCTATTTCTGGGTGAGCAGAGTCTGTAACCTGAAGTGTATGTAACCTGAAGTGAATGTAACCTGAGGTACCATAGTATTTCTCTTTTTCCAGGGAGGAAATGATCACAGGCTCGAATAGCAGTCTCTCCTATGACTAAGAAATAAAACTTTCGTGTTACTATGGCTTGAACAATACTTGAGACGTATCCAACCTGCTTGGACACTCTGACATACATTCTGGAAACGTATGTCCAAATCCTTGGTTCTGGACTTTAACTCTCCAGATTCTGCCAACCTAAGACAACGTTGATTTTCTCCCCAAACAGTTATGGGCAAGTAACAATCCCCACAGGTTCAAAGAGCAGTCTCTCCTGTGACTAAGAAGTCAAACTTTTGTGTTACTCTGCCACAAGAAACTGTAAAAATATTGCAATATCTTAGAACAGGCATCCCCAAACTTGGCCCTCCAGATGTTTTGGGACTACAATTCCCCTCAGCCCTGACCACTGTTCCTGTTAGCTAGGGATGATGGACGTTGTAGTCCCAAAACATCTGGAGGGCCAAGTTTGGGGATGCCTGTATCAGAACATAAGATGAGCCTGCTCGATTGGGCAGTTAATTGTTTATCGCTTTGACATCTGATGGGAGGGTGTTCCATAGGGCGGGCGCCATTACCGAGAAGGCCCTCTGCCTGGTTCCCTGTAACTTGGCCTCTCGCAGTGAGGGAACCGCCAGAAGGCCCTCGGAACTGGACCTCAATGTCTGGGCAGAAAGATGGGGGAGGAGGCGCTCCTTCAGATATACTGGACCGAGGCTGTTTAGGGCTTTAAAGGTCAGCACCAACACTTTGAATTGTGCTCGGAAATGTACTGGCAGCCAATGTAGGTCTTTCAAGACCGGTGTTATATGGTCTCAGTGGCCGCTCCCAGTCACCAGTCTAGCTACCGCGTTCTGGGTTAGTTGTAGTTTCCGGGTCACCTTCAAAGGTAGCCCCACGTAGAGCGCATTGCAGTAGTCCAAGCGGGAGATAACCAGAGCATGCATGAGACAGTCTGCAGGCAGATAAGGTCTCAGCCTACCTACCAGATGGAGCTGGTAAACAGCTGCCCTGGATACAGATTTGACCTGTGCCTCCATGGACAGCTGTGAGTCCAAAATGACTCCCAGGCTGCGCACCTGGTCCTTCAGGGGCACAGTTACCCCATTTAAGACCAGGGAATCCTCCACACCTGCCCGCCTCCTGTCCCCCCAAAACAGTACTTCTGTCTTGTCAGGATTCAACCTCAATCTGTTAGCCACCATCCATCCTCCAACCGCCTCCAGACACTCACACAGGACCTTCACTGCCTTCACTGGTTCTGATTTAAAAGAGAGGTAGAGCTGGGTATCACCTGCATACTGATGAACACCCAGCCCAAACCTCCTGATGATCTCTCCCAGTGGCTGCATGTAAATGTTGAAAAGCATGGGGGAGAGGACAGAACCCTGAGGCACCCCACAAGTGAGAGCCCAGGGGTCTGAACACTCATCCCCCACCGCCACTTTCTGAACACGGCCCAGGAGGAAGGAGCGGAACCACTGTATGACAGTGCCCCCAGTTCCCTGCCCCTCAAGACGGTCCAGAAAGATGTTATGGTCGATGGTATCAAATGCCGCTGAGAGAGCCAGCAGAACTACGAAACAGCTCTCACTTTTGTCCCTAGCCCGCCGGAGATCATCAACCAGTGCGACCAAGGCAGTTTCAGTCCCATGATGAGGCCTGAATCCTGACTGTAAGGGATCCAAATGGTCCACTTCTTCCAGGCGTGCCTGGAGTTGTTCAGCAACCACTCGCTCAATCACCTTGCCCAAGAATGGAAGATTTGAGACTGGGCGATAATTGGCCATTGTGGCCGCATCTAAAGATGGTTTTTTAAGAAGCGGTTTAATAACCGCCTCTTTCAGCGGGTCTGGGAAGGCTCCCTCACAGAGGGAGCATTCACCACCCCACGAAGCCCATCGCCCAGTCCTTCCCGGCTAGCTTTTATAAGCCAGGACTGGCAAGGATCAAGGAGACAGGTGGTTGGTTTCACTCGTCCAAGCAGCCTGTCCACATCCTCGGAGGTAACAGATTGGAATTGATCCCACACAACTTGACTAGACAGGACTCTAGCACTCTCCCACCCTGGCCCTGCTCCCACGGTGGAGTCTACTTCTTCCCGAATCTGAGCGATTTTATCTGCAAAAAACTTTGCGAAATCATTGCAGGAGATCATGTGGCCCATACTGGGCCCTGATGTCGCAGGTGGTTCTGCTAAATTGTGAACCACCTGCTCTTTTCTGCAGATGCAATAGAGGCGGCGAAGAAAGTCTTCTTCGCTGTCGCTATCGCCACTTGGTAGGCTCGACGCTGAGCTCTAACCTGTGTCCGGTCAGATTCGGAATGAGTTATCCGCCACCGGCGCTCGAGCCGTCTCAATGATTGTTTCATTGCCCTCAGATCCGTGGAAAACCACGGGGCTGCCCGGGCTCCATGCAATCGGAGAGGGCGCTTCGGAGCCAAACAGTCAATAGCCCTGGTTAACTCCACATTCCACATTCCAGTATCATTTGGGTAAATGGTATATAATGAATTAAAAAAAAATGTTTAAAATAAAATTTGTTAAGAACCTAGAAGCTTATTTATTTGGAATTACAGGTACTGAGATCCCAAAAGACCAGGAAAGACTATGTATGCAACAACAGCTGCACAGATGTTATTATCCCAACGATGGAAAGGTGCAATAATCCCAACTAGGGAAGATTGGCAAGCCAAACTGCTGGACTCTGCCGAAATGGCAAAATTAACCGCGAGACTCAGGAATCAAGAAAAAAAAAGATTTGGAAATTTTTTAAATTTACCTATGAGATTATTGCACGCAAATCAAAACGTTAGCTGGACTTTAGGAATCACTTGTAAATAAGTTTATGGGCAATTTAGATAAATGAAAATTGTGGAGAATGTATGTATACAGTGGTGACTCGTGTTACGTAACCCTCTGGAACTTCCATTTTTACTGTTGCGCAGCAAATTTAAGTGCCCCCCACCCTCATTAAGGCTTTTTTTCATTCCGTTTTACCCTTGAACAGCTAATTTCAGTTGTTTCCATCGTAATCAAGGTTTTTTTCATCCCATTCGTTCCCTTGCACAGCTAATTTAAGCTCCCCCGCCCCCAATCAATATTCAAGCTGTTTCTGGTTGCAGTGTTCTGAGGTGACATTTGCAGCTTTAGTTTTTTTCCTATTTTTTGCATTTTTGTTTGTGTGGCTTTTTCATTTTTGACCGAGGCTTAGCTTTTTGTTTTATGATTGATTGATTGATTGATTGACTGTGGAAAGGGATAAAAGCTCCCCATTCAATCAATGACTATCATCAATGCAGGTCCGAAAAAAAATATTAATTTTTATCATCTACAATACTGTCTTATTTATTCTATGGTACAGAACATTGATTATTGCTTTCATTTTATGGATCAATGGTCTTGTTAGATAGTAAAATTCATGTTAAATGGCTGTTTTAGGGGTTGTTTTTAAAAGTCTGGAATGGATTAATTCATTTTGCATTACTTTCTACGGGACAGCACGCCTTGGTTTTGGAACGCTTTGGTTTTGGAAGACTTCTGGAACCAATTAAGTTTGAGACCCGAGGTACCACTGTAACTCCTAAGATTTAAAATCCTGGAGGGAGAAAATCTGCCCCCACTACTTTATGAAAGGGATTCAAGAAACAAAGAGCTGCTTTGGAGAAGGCCTCACCCCTTCCTTCTTCCAGTCAGGAACTTCCTTCCATTTGTCTCCTCTCCATCTTTTCCTCTTTCTTCCTCCACCATCCATCTATCCCTGTCCCCATCTCCTCTCCCCTGGAACTCACCAGATTTCTCCAAGGGTCCTGGGAGGGAATGCTCAGAGGTTGTGGGGAGGGATGCGGGAGAGAGCTTGACCAGGTCACCCGTCCATCTTCCTCCTTCCATCCTGGCCAGGGTTGCAGGTTCAGTCTCAGCTAGGTTTGCAGGTTCAGCTTCCTGAGGAGCGCAGAATCCAGAGCCAGTTGCAGCTTCCTGGGAGGGAGGGAAGAAGAAGCCAAGGGAGTCTGAGAGCCCCTGCAGGGATTCTCCTGCCCAAGACATTCCGCTGCCCCTGAAGAAGCCCCAATTGGGCACCCCCTTCCCAAGAGCCCCCACCCATTTTCAAACACCTTTGGCAATTCCTTTCATCACCTCCTTTCCTTTTTTATTTATTTTATTTTGTTTATTCAATCTTTATTGGTTTAAAATCAACACACACACACCAAAAGCTTATAAATAGGAAAAGAAACAAAACAAAAAAGCACAACACATTTCTTACAAAAAGAAATAGAACAATACATCACGAATGCACAAAATTATTCCAGCCATCAACTTCCGACTTCCTTGATATAGGTTATTTATTTTCTTAATTAGGTAAAGGTACCCTTGACCATTAGGTCCAGTCACACATGATTCTCATCTCGCTTTACTGGCCGAGGGAGCCGGCATTTGTCTGCACTAAGCTTCCGGGTCATGTGACCAGCATGACTAAGCCGCTTCTGGCGAACTAGAGCAGCGCACGGAAACGCCATTTACCCTCCTGCCAGAGCGGTACCTATTTATCTACTTTTGATGTGCTTTCGAACTGCTAGGTTGGCAATTTTCTTAATTACTTGCCTCTATTTTTCCATAAACTTTATCTTTGTTAAATCTTGTCTGAATTCTTTGTACCTTATTCAATTCTGAGAGTTATTCAAAGCATTTTAAAGTTTATATAAGGGGACACTGTTCTTTTAAATATTGTCTATAGAGCTCCCATTCCCTTTTAAACTTTTGGGTCGATCGATTTCTTATCTTTTCCGTCATGTGTGCAACTTCTATATATTGAAGGATTTTTACTTGCCACTCCTCTTCTGATGGAATTTTATCTCCTTTCTATCCCTTGGCAATCAGCATCCCCACTGCAGTTGTTGCATACAAAAAGACCCCTTCCCAAGAGCCCCCACCCATTTTCAAACACCTCTGGCAATTCCTTTCACCTGCCTGTCCCACCTCCCTTCCTAAGGCTGGCATGGTATGACATTAGTGGCCTGAGAGTAGATCCCTTTGAACTTAAGAGTTCATCTGCAAAGGACTGCTCTGAATACATGGGTGGCCCTTGCATGGAGAAGAAGGAAGCCCCTTGCTTGCATCAGGACCCCCTGGGAGAGGCGGGGGATCCGCCCACTGCTCCCTCTGCCCTCGCTGCCTCCTCCTCTGCCCTCCTGCCCTGCAAACACATTTTACTCTTGTTGCTCAGGGGAGAATGGCAGGAAGAGCCTTCAAACCCATCCCTTTCCTCCTCTGCTGCCCAGTGAGAGGGGAAGGAGCGGCAGCGCCTGGTTCACTTCATGGTTTACTGGGATTGTGAATGAACACGTCCTCCGCCTTCCATGCGGTGGGAGTGGGGGGGTTAAAAGTGGTGAGGAGCCCCCCTCCAGTCCTTTTGGGAAACAGCTTTGGTCAGGAGTAAACAACTTAGATGGCAAGTTCACAAGAGAAGCACTTTGGAGCACTGCTTGCTCTTACTATGTGTTTGGACCTAGAGGACAACATACACGTTTACACCACGGGACTCCTTAAAGAGGGCATTTCTTTCTATTTGAAGGCCATTTCTACAAAACGGTAGTCTTATGATGGCAGCCCTGTACAGGAAAGTTTTTCATGTTTTAATTTTTTTGGTGTTTTTGTTGGAAGCCGCCCAGAGTGGCTGAGGCAACGGAATCAGATGGGCAGGCTGCAAGTATTTATTTATTTATTTATTTATATTATTATCATTATCATTCCCTCCTAAGCCCATCCTGTTATGCATGCTGATCAATGACTTTGTCCCAACCAACCCCCCCCCCCAACGCAAGAGGGCTTCCTATTTTTACAGCTATTCTTCACATTTCTATACTGCCCTTCCTCCAAAGATCACAGGGCAGCTTACAAGAGAAAAACACAGAGATGCATAACAGAGTAAGAAATAAAAACGACAACCCTCGCCCCCCCCCCATGCAGGTGTGCAGTCCATAGATTGTTTAATGAGCCAAACCCCTGGGAGAAGAGAAAGGCTTTCGCCTGTTGCCTAAAGATAAGGTCCTCCTCCGAGGGGTCTTCTGCTGGGGTATAAATATTAAATTTAATTAATACTATTAAGGCGGTCCTGGCCAGCAATGCCCACCCCCCTCCCCTTGCCCGCCTCCTTCCCTGCAACTCCCTTTGTACTAGATCCATGCAGGAGGAAGCTTCTCCCCCCCCTTTCAAGGCCCCCCCTTTAAGAGAACAGCTCCCTTTCCTCCCTTCTCTTCTCCCCGCCCGGATCTTGTGCAGGGCCGCCTCTCCCCATCCGGGGGCTTCTCATCCTGGACCTCCTCGCAAAGCCCCTTCCCTCCTTCCCCGCCACTGGCTTTGCACTCACCCGAAATCCTGGGCAGCGGGGGCGGGAATGGGAGCCCCCGCGTGGGAGGCAGGGCGTAAGGGCGTTTAATTAGGAGGCTTGATTAGGAAGCAGCCCCTCCTCCGCCTCCGCACGATGCAACCCCCCTTCCCGCCTCCTTCCCTCCCTCCTTTGCAAGCCCGGAGATTATCTCTGCTGGTGAAGCCGGAAGTGGAGGCAACTCAGAGGAGGAAGGAGACGTTTCTCTCCACGCTCAGCCTCTTGTCTGTTATTTGATAATCGGGGGAAGGAAAACCTTGTAGCACCCAACCAATGGGAAGGCGAGGGAGGGAACGTGTGCATAGGGAATATACCGTAAGCTCATTCTTTGCTGGACTGTGCCTGCTTTGGACCCCCACTTTTGCAAGAACGTATTGTCCTCAATAAGGGACGCGGCTGGAGCTGTGGGTTAAACCCCAGAGCCTAGGGCTTGCCGATCAGAAGGTTGGCAGTTTGAATCCCCGTGAAGGAGTGAGCTCCCGTTGCTCTGTTTCTTCTCCTGCCATCCTAGCAATTCGAAAGCACGAAGTGCAAGAAGATAAATAGGTACCTGTTGTAAACAAAAACTGCCCTTATGCTTTTAAGGGGGCCACAAGAGCCTTTATAGAGTCCTTTGCCGGTTCTCCATTTGTAGGAGAAAATAGCAGAGAATATTGAGAAGCAAAGCCTGATCTTTATTGAAATGTTGCAACAGGTTGCTCCCCTCACATGGAGGAGAACGGAGGAGGACCCAGAACAAAGGTGTGCCTGCCCTTATATAGCCCTTTTAAATTCCCTGCCCTGGAGCTCAAGACCACCCCTCCATACATCATACATACATCACAGAAAAGGCGGTCTACAACAGAAATTTGAATGTTGTTGCTTTTCCTGTGCTGCTCCAGACATGTGGTCCACATATCTATGTATGTGTTTGGTTGGTACATTTATGAACATTTATTATATATATAAGACCTTAATTTTTTTTATTACATACCGCTCCAGCAGGAAGGTAAATGGCGTTCCCGTGCACTGCTCTGGTTTGCCAGAAGCGGCTTAGTCATGCTGGCTCCCTCGGTGTTACGGAAAAATCTGGGTGCGGGGTTACTCTGCCACCCAGCTCGTCCGACTAAGTCCGCGGGTCCCTGCAGAGGAAAATGAGCTCAGCCGGACGCAGGAGCAAACTACAGAAGATCCAAGTTTATTGCGCCACAGGTTCAAGGCGAGATTGAACCCCGAGAAAGGGGTGACAGGAGTTTTTGAAACTTCCCTCCATGTCCCAGAATACAGTGCAAAATACATCATTATTGCGTCATGAATACATTAGAAATAGGTTGGGTTACACAGGTGACATCATGAATACATTAGAGAGGGGTTGAGTTACACAGATTAACATATACAGTGGGGGGGGGGAATATGCAGAATCAGAGATATGTGCAGATAAGTGCTTCCTGACTACCGGTGATGAGAAGACAATAGTCCAAGTATGCAGAGTCAATAGTCCAAGTATGCAAGGTCTAGCACCTGGCGTTGCCCGGAGGAAAGGTTGGGCAAAGCGACTTGGCCGGATTAGGGTCTTCCTGAGTACGTGACTCCTCGCTCGAGGGATTATGGAGGCCGAGGAGGTGTCATGGAGTCCTGAATAAACTGAGTCGATTGGCACCAAAACCAAGGAAATCAGAGCTGTGGTTGAATTAATATGAATTTTAGAAGTTTTAGTCCGTTCTGTTCCAGTCTTATGTCAGTGATTGAAGTCGGAAATGAAATGGATACATTGTAACAGGATTTGACACTTTTATGAGTCCACGAGTTTCGATTCTATTGTTCCCCCAGCAGGGAGCCGCCAGTAGCTTGTCAAGAGGTTAAATGAGGCGTGTAGGGGCTCGCTGAGCTGAATCTGCAGAGCGGATGCATGGTTCTGATTGGCTGGGACGTGGCCATTGAAACGAATGGGAACGCGGTTTCCATTGAAACAAATGGGAGCGCAGTTTGATACGGTCAACCCATGCTAGAGATAGAGCGGGAGGGAGGCTTAGGGAAAGATGGTGGGCTTATTTCGCCCGTATAGAGAGAGAGGGATAGGCATTTTATTTAAGAGGCCAGGGGTATAGTGTGGTGCTTGTGTAACGGTGTGGGGGCTGAGGGGTCAGGGCAAAGCTGGGCGCCGTTGAGGTCATCACCTCGGACCCCTTTGGTGGCCGGCGGAGGGATGCGGGAAGGTACCCCCCCTCCGTATCACTCGGCCAGTAAAGTGAGATGAGCACCGCAGCCCCATTGTCATCCTCAACAGGACCTCACGGTCAGGGGTCCCTTTACCTTTACCTCAATAAACTCTTTATTTGCTTCTCCAGTATTCTTCAGATGGTATTTTAAGGAAGGGGATCAAGGGTCTCAGGACCCACTTCTTACAATGTATGAAGTAGCTTACAGCAAAAAAGCCTAATAACTCTTCTGGGTAACTGAATAAAGTATTTTAATAAATATTTAAATGGAGAACATATTTTGCCTTCTCATGTTCATGCAAACATGGTTCTACTCCAATCTCACTTAGTATTAAATTGTGGGTGGACATAGCAGACGCCACAGAAATTTCTCCAAGTGGTTCTTTATAGTAAGCTGGAACTGAACTGAACAGCAAACAGCTCAGCCGGCCTGCTTTTATAGGCAGCCAGCTGTCAACACTGTAACAACCACCACCCAGGGTTTCCCGCCTAAATTGACTGATATGGACCCGAGTGAAAACTATACACACACAATACCCCTGGTGGCCAGGATGAGAACTTCAATACATAACACTTAGTCCCCACTTCCACCTCAGCAAAGAATTTTTTATACAAAAATCTCCTGGACAGAAGTCTCCCTGTTTGCATTATAGGGAGGGCTCAGCCTCTGTCTACCTTATTGCACTCTCAATACACACAATGTCTTTTGCAGTGTCCTGTATTCTCCTCAAAGAAACACTCCAGAGACACAGGAACAGTGACAGGCAGCAGCAGCAGCAGCAGTTTGACAGATTAGCTGGGGATTTTGATCCAGAAACGGAGCAGACGGGGAAAGGTTAAGCAGAATCCCCCCCCCCCCGGGTCACCCTTAGGTGTGCTCAGTCTCCACCTGCTTCATGACTCCACCTTGCATGAGAAAGGATGAGGCTCCAGGAAACAGGAAGTGGTCCTTCAACCAGCCAGGACATCTCACATCACAGACAGATCCAGTCTCATGCTGGGGAGTCAGGAGTGGCCCTGGGATGGCAGAGAGAGGAGGGGAAGGGGCCAGGGACAGAAGGAATGGCAGGGCTCCAGATGCTCCCTTGAACCCCCCCTCCCTTGACACCAAGGGGAGCTCCTCTTCTGGGGCTGAAAACATTGGTGTGGAGGTTAGTTTTTGTTAGGACTGCAAGGAAGGGGGGAAAGGAAACGTAAAACACACCCACCCATGGACACACTAAGAACTGAATGAAAATAGGCCTGGCTGAAGGAACAGGTATTGGAGAGCATAATGTGGGGTGTAGCTGTAATGCTCACCTGCCTCCCTGGACTGGTCTTTTCTTGGGGTCAGGGAGCTGAGTTGGTCGATCAACATGAACTTCCCAGGTTACCTTTCCTTCTGGTCAGCTATTCCAGCTCTTGTCTCCTCCCCATTTCTTTCTTTATGGAGGAGCAAAGGCAATGCACTTTGTATAGATGCAACTACAACCCACAACTGGAATCTTCTGGGTGCACTGAGCTCCCCCCCCCCAATAGAATAGATTCCCTCAGCATCTTGCCCCACCTCCCAGAAGGCAAGTTTATCTGGTTAAAGTGTTTGTTTCGGAGAACATTATATTGCATTTATCTTTGTATCAGCAGTAATAAATATATTAATTGGGTTATGAATAACAGTTTAGATACTGTCAACATGAACTTTGTCTGAGGTTTCAGACATACCCATTTCGTTCAAGAAAAGATGCAGAAAATACTTTTCCTTTTTTATTCTGGGCACTTGACTTCTCCCATCCTGCTACCATCCAGGCAAACGTTTGGGGCAGATATCCAGGGCCCCACTCAGCAGCAGCAACAGGGGGAGGAGGAGGCCCCACAAACATTTCCCACATTTTGAAGTTAAATGATACAAAGCCCCTTCAAGAATTGACAGAAGCTTACCAGGGTACCTTTCCTACTAGTCAGCTATTCAGGCTCCTCATTCCTCCCCATTTCTCTATGGAGGGTCAAAGGCTATGCACTTTGTATAGACGTAACTGCAACCAACATCTGGTATCTTCTGGGTGCACCAAGGGGGCCTCCTTCTGCATTGTCAGCAAGTGACAAGTGTCATGGAACAATCCCCAGTGTCTCTACAGAAAATGTTACTGATGGGCTTGTAGGGCCAGGGGAGAGAGGCAGTATGCTAGGTGGATAGGGTTGTGGGATAGAAATGTCAATAACCAAAGACTGAACTGGAATAAATGTGTAACCTGCCTCAAGATTCTTTGTGGTTGACTGCCACAAAAATAAGAGAAAGAATAGAAATACTTAAATGCCCCTATTAATATTAATGAAATAAAAGAAGGAATTGTGACTTCTAAGAATGGTAAAGTCCCTGGTGCGGATGGCATTTCTTTAATGAATTACAAAAAATTGGAAGAGATCATATTACCAATGTTAGAAAAAATAATGAACAAAATTTTAGAAGGAGGACAAGTGCCAGAATAATGACAAGAGGCCCTAATTACATTGATACTGAAATATGGACCCAATTTAGAGTAAATTAAGATTTATAGACCAAGACAAATTTACAGCAACGTAAGATTGGTAGTAGATACAATAGTATATCTAGAAATGAGAGCAGATAAAAAGGCAGCCCTGATTTTGGTGGATGCGGAGAAAGCATTGGATCATGTTTCGGGGGCATTCATGTAAAATACTTTGGAAATTATGAGTTTGGGTGAGAAAATATGTAGTGGTATAAAAGCGATTTATAATTCCTAACAGGTCAGACTAATTATAAATGGTAAAACATCAGAAGCTTTTAATATCTCTAAGGGAACAAGACAGGGCTGCCCTCTTTCTCCTCTCCTCTTTATCACACTTCTGGAAGTGTATTTGAAAGCAATAAGAGAAGACCCTAGAATAGAAGGAATTAAAGTTTGACAACGGGCCTATAAGGTCGGAGCCTTCGCAGACAATCTAATAATTACAACAGAAAACCTTCTAGAGCAGCGGTTCTCAACTTGTGGGTCCCCAGATGTTGTTGGACTACAACTCCCATCATCCCTGAGCTCTGGCCTTGCTAGCTAGGCGTGATGGGAGTTGCAGTTCAGCAACATCTGGGGGCGCACAGGTTGAGAAACTGCTCTAGAAAGTACTATACAGTGGTACGTCGGGTTATATATGCTTCAGGTTACATAAGCTTCAGGTTACAGACAGTGCTAACCCAGAAATAGTACCTCGGGTTAAGAACTTTGTTTCAGGATAAGAATGGAAATCGTGTGGTGGTGGCGTGGCGACAGCAGGAGGCCCGAATAGCTAAAGTGGTGCTTCAGGTTAAGAATAGTTTCAGGTTAAGAATACACCTCCGGAACAAATTAAGTACGTAACCCGAGGTACCACTGTATTAAGACCTCCCCATGTAAATTAGTGGATATTTCCTAAGGTTCCATATTGACTAAAGCTTCTCCGCTGTGTGAGTTTGCCAATGTAATGTAAGTTTATCCTTCCTGTTGAAGCTTTTTCCACATTCAGTACATTTAAATGGTTTCTCCCCCGTGTGAGTTCGCTGGTGTATTCTAAGGTGTCCACTTTTACTGAAGCTCTTTTCACATTCAATACATTTAAATGGTTTCTCCTCTATGTGAGTTTGTAGATGTCTTCTAAGTATTACATTTTGACTGAAGCTCTTTCCACATTCAATACATTCAAATGGTTTCTCCCCCGTGTGAGTTCGTTGATGTATTCTAAGGTGTCCACTTCTACTGAAGCTCTTTCCACATTCAATACATTTAAATGGTTTCTCCCCCGTGTGAGTTCGTTGATGTACTCTAAGGTATTCATTTTGACTGAAGCTGTTTCCACATTCAATACATGCAAATGGTTTCTCTCCCGTGTGAGTTCGTTGGTGTACTCTAAGGTGTCCACTTCTACTGAAGCTCTTTCCACATTCAAAACATTTAAATGGTTTCTCCTCCGTGTGAGTTCGTTGGTGTATTTTAAGTGCTCCACTTTGACTGAAGCTGTTTCCACATTCAATACATTTAAAAGGTTTCTCCCCCGTGTGAGTTAGTTGATGTCTTCTAAGGTGTTCACTTCTACTGAAGCTCTTTCCACATTCAATACATTTAAATTGTTTCTCCTCTGTGTGAGTTCGTTGATGTCTTCTAAGTGTCCCACTTCTACAGAAGCTCTTTCCACATTCAATACATTTAAATGGTTTCTCCCCCATGTGAGTTCCTTGGTGTATTCTAAGGTCTCCACTCTTACTGAAGCCCTTTCCACATGCAATACATTTAAAAGGTTTCTCTTCTATGTGAGTTTGTAGATGTCTTCTAAGTGCTCCACTGTCACTGAAGCCCTTTCCACATTCAATACATTTCAATGGTTTCTCCCCCGTGTGAGTTCGTTGGTGTATTTTAAGTGTTCCATATTGACTGAAGCTCTTTCCACATTCAATACATGCAAATGGTTTCTCCCCCGTGTGAGTTCGTTGGTGTATTATAAGTGTTCCATATCGACTGAAGCACTTTCCACATTCAGTACATTCAAATGGTTTTTCCCCTGTGTGAGTTCGTTGATGTATTCTAAGGTTTCCATTTTGACTGAAGCTGTTTCCACATTCAATACATTTAAATGGTTTCTCCTCTGTGTGAGTTCGTTCGTGCATTCTAAGTGTTCCATATCGACTGAAGCACTTTCCACATTCAGTACATTCAAATGGTTTTCCCCCCGTGTGAGTTCGTTGATGTGTTCTTAGTGCTCCATTTTTACCGAAGCTCTTTCCACATTCAATACATTCAAATGGTTTCTCCCCTGTGTGAGTTCCTTGATGTTTTCTAAGAGTTCCATTGTCCCTGAAGCTCTTTCGATAGTCAGTACATTTAAATGGTTTCTCCTCTATGTGGATTCGTTGATGTGTCCTCAGTCTTCCACTGTGACTAAAGCACATCCCACGTTCCAGGCATTTAAACTGTTTCTTTGTTCTTCCCAATGAATTCACAGATGGCTCCATATAATTCTGGCCATCATGTTCCTCACCTGTTTGGGAGTGGGGAGGAAGGGGAAGAGAATCCTGTTAAGACTTACAAGAAAGGAACTGAACACACGTCAATCACAATATGCACCTTCTCCTATTTTAACACTGTCTCCTTTCTCCACTGTCCTATCTATGTTCCAAACTTTTAGGAATGCAGATGAGATAATGGCAAGAACAACACATGGTCATTCCATTCACACTTAATAAACTGCATTATTTTATAATCTATGGTGGAATTGGCTTCTTAGACACATCTCTGTATTTTTCTTTTTCCAGGGAGGAAATGATCACAGGTTCGAGTAGCAGTCTCTCCTATGACTAAGAAAACTTATGTGTTACTTTGCCACATGTAACTGTAAAAATATTCCAATATATTAGTATCCCCAAACATCCTCCAGATGTTTTGGGACTACAATTCCCATCATCCCTGACCACTGGTCCTGTTAGCTAGGGATGATGGGAGTTGTAGTCCTTAACATCTGGAGGGCCAAGTTTGGGGATGCCTGTATTAGAACATAAGAAGAGCTTGCTTGATTGGGAAAAGGCCCACCTAGTCCAGCATCCTGTTCTCACAGTGGCCAGCTAGATGCCTGTGGGAAACCAGCAAGCCGGATTTGAGTACAAGAGCCCTCTGCCTTCCTGTGCTTTCCAGGAACTAGTATTAAGAAGCATAATTGCCTAGGACCACGAGGGCAGAGCAGAGACGTCAGTCTAATCCTCTTTTTTCAAGCTATCCAAATTGTTGGCCATCATTCCTGTAGGATGGAATTCCATAGATTAAAAATGCAGAAATACAACTAAGAACACTTTCGGGCCACAAATCAATAATTCTTGAACTAAAAGGCAAGAAGAATACTCCATTTAGAGTATTGCTCATATTTTGGGCAATAGAATGAAAGGTGTTTTAGCAGAAAAAATTCAGCACAATCAGGCCTGCTTTCTACCAGGACGTCAGATGAAGGAAAATATTGTTACGATATAGAAGCAATGCAGCTGCGAGCTGCTAGCTTGAAAACATCACATGATGTTGGGACTGTCCGTGGGAAACAGAGGGACAGTCAATTCAGTGTGAAGCACCGGAATTAGCTCAGAGTGTAATATGAGCTGTACAGGAAGTACAGGAAGTGTTTGTCATTCGACTGCTGGAGCTTGAAGAGAGCAGTCATGCTTTTTGTAATGCTGCAAAGACAGAAAAAAAGGCATGTAAATACGTTTCTGTCTATCTCTTTCCCCTGCTGGGGGGGCAAGAAAGAGGGGGGGTGTTCTTCTCATGCTGAGAAGGATCACCTATCGCGACCTCTGCCTGGATCTTGCTGAGGAATGCAGACAGGGAGGTTAACAGGAGATCAAGCTGGGTGCCTGGAGAGTTGCCAGTTACTACTCATATAGGCTCGAATCCCGACAAATATAAGGAATATAAATGATATTATTCAATACTTGGAAGTAAAAATTGAGAAAAAAGCGGGCTTAATGTTTATAGATGCTGAAAAGGCTTTTGATAATGTTTCATGGGCTTTTATGAAAAAGATAAAAGAAAAAATGAATTTTGAGGAAGCATTTGGGAGAGGAATTGATGCAATGTATTTCTACCAACAGTCTATGCTGATTGTTAATATGGTGATAACAGAAAAGTGTAAAATAAGGAAGGGGACAAGACAAGGATATCCCCTATCACCATTATTATTTATTTTGGTATTAGAGGCCCTGGCGAGGGAGACAAAGTGGATAAATTAATTACAGGAATAACAGTAGAAAATAAAGCATATAAATTAAAAGCTTTCACAGTTCACCTTGTAATTACAGTGAAGGATTCCATAAATACTCCACCGAAGGTGGTAGAAAAGATGCAGGACTTCGGGCAGACCGGGGGCTTTAAACTAAACAAGAATAAGACTCCTCAATGCCTTGTTTGCCTCAGTCTTCTCCGATAAAGAAAACAATGCCCGACCTGAAGAATTTGGAGCAAATGATTCAGCAGAGGAAACACAGCCCAGAATAACTAAGGAGATAGTACAAGAATACTTGGCTAGTTTAGATGTATTCAAGTCTCCAGGGCCATATGAACTGCAAGAGTATTAAAAGAACTGGCAGATGTGATCTCAGAACCACTGGCAGTCATCTTTGAGAATTCCTGGAGAACAGGCGAAGTCCCGGCAGACTGGAGGAGGGCAAATGTTGTCCCTGTTTTCAAAAAGGGGGAAAGAGAGGACCCAAATAATTATCGCCCAGTCAGTCTGACATCAATACCAGGGAAGATTCTCGAGCAGATCATTAAGCAGACAGTCTGTGAGCACCTAGAAAGGAATGCTGTGATCACCAATAGTCAGCATGGATTTCTGAAAAATAAGTCATGTCAGACTAACCTGATCTCTTTTTTTGACAGAATTACAAGCCTGGTAGATGAAGGGAACACAGTGGATGCAGCCTACCTTGATTTCAGCAAGGCATTCGACAAGGTGCCCCATGATATTCTTGTAAAGAAGCTGGTAAAATGCGGTCTTGACTATGCTACCACTCAGTGGATTTGTAACTGGCTGACTGACCAAACCCAAAGGGTGCTCATCAATGGTTCCTCTTCATCCTGGAGAAGAGTGACTAGTGGGGTGCCACAGGGTTCTGTCTTGGACCCGGTCTTATTCAACATCTTTATCAATGACTTGGATGATGGATTCAAGGGCATCCTGATCAAATTTGCAGATGACACCAAACTGGGAGGGGTGGCTAACACCCCGGAGGACAGGATCACACTTAAAAACGACCTTGACAGATTAGAGAACTGGGCCAAAACAAACAAGATGAGCTTTAACAGGGAGAAATGTAAAGTATTGCACTTGGGCAAAAAAATTGAGAGGCACAAATACAAGATGGGTGACACCTGGCTTGAGAGCAGTACATGTGAAAAGGATCTAGGAGTCTTGGTTGACCACAAACTTGACATGAGCCAACAGTGTGACGCGGCAGCTAAAAAAGCCAATGCAATTCTGGGCTGCATCAATAGTATAGCATCTAGATCAAGGGAAGTAATAGTGCCACTGTATTCTGCTCTGGTCAGACCTCACCTGGAGTACGGTGTCCAGTTCTGGGCACCACAGTTCAAGAAGGACACTGACAAACTGGAACGTGTCCAGAGGAGGGCAACCAAAATGGTCAAAGGCCTGGAAACGGTGCCTTATGAGGAACGGCTAAGGGAGCTGGGCGTGTTTAGCTTGGAGAAGAGGAGGTTAAGGGGTGATATGATAGCCATGTTCAAATATATAAAAGGATGTCATATAGAGGAGGGAGAAAGGTTGTTTTCTGCTGCTCCAGAGAAGCGGACACGGAGCAATGGATCCAAACTACAAGAAAGAAGATTCCACCTAAACATTAGGAAGAACTTCCTGACAGTAAGAGCTGTTCGACAGTGGAATTTGCTGCCAAGGAGTGTGGTGGAGTCTCCTTCTTTGGAGGTCTTTAAGCAGAGGCTTGACAACCATATGTCAGGAGTGCTTTGATGGTGTTTCCTGCTTGGCAGGGGGTTGGACTCGATGGCCCTTGTGGTCTATTCCAACTCTATGATTCTATGATTCTAAGTTTTTGGGAAAAAACACAATGGAGCAAGACCAAAAGAAATTACAACAGAAAACAGAGTTAGTTATACATAACAAAGTCAAATACTGGGATATCTGTTTGACAGCTAAGAATATTAATATTGTTAAGGACAATTACAAGAATGAGTGGAAAGAAATAAAAAGAGCTTTAGAGATATGGGGAAGAATGAATTTATCATTTTGGGGAGGAATATCAGTAATAAAAACGAATGTATTGCCAAAAATGTTATTTTTATTCTAAGCAGTCCAGGCAATAGGCAACACAGGATGCTTTGAAAAATGGCAAGAAGATATATCTAGGTTTATCAGACAAGGGACGAAACCAAGTATAAAAAATAAATTATTAACAGATGTAAGAGAGAGAGGAGGTTTCACCCTGCCGGATTTAAAACTTTATTATGAAGCATCCTGTATCTGCTAGAACCGGGAATGGATTACATTAGAAAACACAGATACTGTATTTTAGATCTGGAAGGACACAAATAATGTATAGCATGCATATTTATGGTAGGAAAAGGCCAAGGTGCATAGAGCTTTTCAGAATCATATAGTAAGAAAACCAATGTTTAGGGTATGGGAGAAGTATAAAAATTTGCTTCAGTAAAAAACACCCTGGTGGCTTTCCCCCTTGGAAGCAATATCTCTGAAAAAAATTGAATATGAGAAGTAATTGGCCGACTTACAGAGAGGTGTTAACTGAAGTTGAAAACCAACTGAAATTAAACAATTTTGAAGAGATAAGGGAAGCTGTACCTGACTGGTTACAGTACCATCAACTAAACGATATCTTTAAGATAGACAAAAAGAAAGGTTTTAGTTATGAGACATCACAATTTCAAAAAGAACTCTTAGTTCTTGGGAAAGGGACTTAGGACATAACATACAAATGGTAGATTGGGAGAGGCTTTGGAAAACAGATCTGAAATTCACAGCTTGCTGTACATTGAAAGAAAACTACATAAAAATGATGTGCTGGTGGTATTTGACTCCTAGTAAGTTATCTAAAACGTATAGAGTAAGTTCAAATATCTGCTGGAAATGTACAGAACAAGCGGGTATCTTTTGCTATATGTGGTGGTCATGTAAGATAACAGTATCATTTTGGGAAATGGTATATAATGAAAAAGTAGAGACATCACCTTGCCAACGAGCGCAGTGAAAACCAGGAAGGAAAAAAAAGGCTGGGGAGGGCACAGGATGAGGGGCAGGGGAGCGGGCTTTTTACTTCTGCAGCTTGTTTTGAGGCAGGATAGATTTGAGCATTGTCTGGGTCCCAGTGCCCCTACTCCTTTTTTATGCTCCATTCTATTGCTGCCAGTGGCTGCTTATTACTCAAACTGAACCTGATACCAGTAGCCACGTGTACAAACAACGTAGAAGGCTGCAAGTAGGAGCGCTTTTACACAGCTAATGGCGAATCCCCTGCAATCCAAGTCCTGATCACTTGCTCAAATCTAACCTGCCTCAAAACAAGCAACGGAGGAAAAGGCTGCAAACTGTTAAATGGGAAAAAACCCCAGGCACAGGGCAAATACCTTAGGTAAAATAGTAAAGGGAGGCAGGTGATTCAAAGCCAGCAGGCACTTTTAAAAGTGGTGCGCAGCCAGCAACAGCTGCAGAAGGTTCGCCTGCTCCCTAAACGGAGCAATGAGGCTGCAGAGGGACGGAAGGACACAGGAGGGGTTGGATCGGGAAGGATAAAATTTAAGCAACCAGCAGCAAAAAAAAAACAAAAACCAACCTCGAGTTCTGAGCCACCAGCGCAGTGAAAACCAGGAAGTAAAAAAGGAAGGCTGCTGGAGACTGGAGGGCAGAGGATGAGGGAGAAGGGGAAATTACACAAATCCCCCGCGTCTCAGCTGATCCGCTGGCTCCTTGAGCCTGCACACTAAACAAACACACAGCTCCTGTCCCTCTTAGTCTCACTCTGATATATCAGTAGTTTATTAAATAGTTTAGTACAACATTTGATTCAGAATATTTTCCCCGTTTTCCTCCTCTGAAAACTAGGTGCGTCTTATGGTCCGGTGCGCCTTATGGAGCAAAAAATACGGTACTATCAGGACCCATGAAAGGGATGGAGCGAAGTCATGTGATTCAGAGAATCTCAGGAATTGATTATATAAATGTATTTGATATAAACTTGCAGTTGTAAAAACCAATAAAAATATTTCAAAAAAAGGGAAGTCCATAGATTGACTATGCTTCTGTGGATTCATCATTTGCAAACCCAGAAACAGGTGCTCCTGTTTTTGAAATTTTCCTCGGAAACCGAACGTGCTCCTGAGCTTCCATTTTTACTCTTGCACAGCTAATTTAAGTCCCCCCCCATCGTAATTAAGGTTTTTTTTATCCCACTTGTATCCTTGAGCAGCTATTTTAAGTCCCCCCTCCCATTGTAATTAAGGTTTTTTTCATCCCATTTGTTCCCTTGCACAGCTGATTTAAGCCCCCACCCCATCAATATTAAAGCTGTTTCTGGTTTCAGTGTTCTGAGGTGACATTTGGTGCTTTAGTTTTTTCCTCTTTTTTGCATTTTTGTTTGTTTGGCTTTTTCATTTTTGATTGTGGCTTCTTTGTTTAATTTTAATTTTTATCATCAACAATACTGTCTTCTTTATTTTATGGTACAGAACATTGATTACTGCTTTCATTTTATGGATCAATGGTCTTGTTAGATAGTAAAATTCATGTTAAATTGCTGTTTTAGGGGTTGTTTTTAAAAGTCTGGAATGGATTACCGTATTTTTCGCCCTATAGGACGCACTTTTCCCCCTCCAAAAATGAAGGGGAAATCTGGGTGTGTCCTATGGGGCGAATGCATGCTTTCGCTGAAGCTTGGAGAGCGAGAGGGGTCGGTGCGCACCGACCCCTCTCGCTCTCCAGGCTTCAGGAAGACATCCGCAGCCTAGGCAGCCCTGCGGGAGGTCCGCATTGATGTCTAGGCTGAGGATAGCAGCCTGCCGCCCAGCGCGAGGGACGCCCTAAAGCAGAGCGCCCCTCGCGCCGGGCAGACATCCGCAGCATGGGGAGCCCTGCAGGAGTTCCCCACAGGGCTCCCCACGCTGCGGATAGCAGCCTGCCGCCCAGCGGGCGGGTCACCCTAAAGCAGAGCGCCCCTCGCGCCGGACAGACATCGGCCAGCCCCACAAGCTCGGGGGACAGCGGTGAGGCGCAGCGCCGTCATCCCGCTGTTCCTGGACCTGGTTCGGTTTCCCCGACCTGCTTTTGGGGGGGAAATAAAGGAAATTTCCCCCCCTTTATTTCCCCCCCAAAAAACTAGGTGCGTCCTATGGGACGAAAAATACAGTAATCCATTTTGCATTACTTTCTATGGGAAAGCACGCCTTGGTTTTGAAACGCTTTGGTTTTGGAAGTCTCCCGGAACCTATTATGTTTGAGAACCAAGGTACCACTGTAACTCCTAAGATTTAAAATCCTGGAGGAAGAAAATCTGCCCCCCACTACAGTGGTACCTCAGGTTAAATACTTAATTCGTTCCGGAGGTCTGTTTTTAACCTGAAACTGTTCTTAACCTGAAGCACCACTTTAGCTAATGCGGCCTCCTGCTACTGCCGCGCGTTTTTTGTTCTCATCCTGAAGCAAAGTTCTTAACCAGAGGTACTATTTCTGGGTTAGCGGAGTCTGTAACCTGAAGCGTATGTAACCCGAGGTACCACTGTACTTTATGAAAGGGATTCAAGAAACAAAGAGCTGCTTTGGAGAAGGCCTCACCCCTTCCTTCTTCCTGTCAGGAACTTCCTTCCATTTGTCTCCTCTCCATCTTTTCCTCTTTCTCCCTCCACCATCCATCTATCCCTGTCCCCATCTCCTCTCAACTGGAACTCACCAGATTTCTCCAAGGGTCCTGGGAGGGAATGCTCAGAGGTTGTGGGGAGGGATGCAGGAGACAGCCTGACCAGGTCAACCGTCCATCTTCCTCCTTCCATCCTGGCCAGGGTTGCAGGTTCTGTCTCAGCTAGGTTTGCAGGTTCAGCTGTCTGAGGAGTGCAGAAGCCAGAGCAAGTTGCAGCTTCCTGGGAGGGAGGGAAGAAGAAGCCAAGGGAGTCTCAGAGCCCCTGCAGGGATTCTCCTGCCCAAGACATTCTGCTGCCCCTGGAGAAGCACCAACTGGGCACCCCCCCCCAAGAGCCCCCTCCTATTTTCAAACACCTTTGGCAATTTCTTTCACCTGCCTGTCCTGCCTCCCTTCCTAAGGCTGGCATGGTATGCACATTTGTGGCCTGAGAGTAGATCCCATGGAACTTAAGAGTTAATCTGCAAAGGACTGCTCTGAATACATGGGTGGCCCTTGCATGGAGAAGGGAGCCCCTTGCTTGCATCTGGACCCCCCGGGAGAGGCGGGGGATCTGCTCCCTCTGCCCTCGCTGCCCCCTCCTCTGCCCTCCTGCCCTGCAAACACCCTTTGCTCTTGTTGCTCAGGGGAGAGAGGCAGGAAGAGCCTTCAAACCCATCCCTTTCCTCCTCTGCTGCCTTTTCTTGCAGCAGCCCAGTGAGAGGGGAAGGAGCTGCAGTGCCTGGTTCACTTCAGATACACACATGGTTTACTGGGATTGTGAATGAACACGTCCTCTGCCTTCCATGCGGTGGGAGTGGGGTGGGTTAAAAGTGGTGACGAGACCCCCCCTCCAGTCCTTTTGGGAAACAGGAGCTTTGGTCAGGAGTAAACAACTTATATGGCAAGTTCACAAGAGAAGCACTTTGGAGCACTGCTTGCTCTTACTATGTGTTTGGACCTAGAGGACAACATACACGTTTACACCACGTGGTTCCTTAAAGAGGGCATTTCTTTAAATTCAAAGGCCATTTCTACAAAATGGAAGTCTTCTGATGGCAGCCCTATAAAGGGAAGTTTTTGATGTTTTAAAATTTTTGGTGTTTTTGTTGGAAGCCGCCCAGAGTGGCTGAGTCAACACAGTTTTTATTTTTTTTTATTTTATTATTATTATTATTATTATTATTATTCCCTCCTAAGCCCATCCTGCTATACATGCTGGTCAGAGACTTTGTCCCCAACCCCCCCCCCCCTTGAACGCAAGAGGTCTTCCTATTTTTACTGCTGTTCTTTAAATTTCTATACTGCCCTTCCTCCAAAGATCACAGGGCAGCTTCCAATAATAATAATAATAATAATAATAATAATAATAATTTTTATACCCCGCCCTCGCCAGCCAAGTCCGGGCTCAGAGCGGCTTACAAGCAATAATAAAAACAAGTTGAATGATTACAACTTAAAAACAAAATTAAAATACAACATTAAAATATTGAAACATTAAAATATTAAAATGTAGCCTCCTCGCAGGAAGAGAAGGAAAGAAAAAAGAAAGAGAGGGAGGGAATCAAATTGGCACCAAGCCAAAGGCCAGGCGGAACAACTCTGTCTTACAGGCCCTGTGGAAATATATCAGATCCTGCAGGGCCCTGGTCTAATGAGGCAGAGCATTCCACCAGGCCGGAGCCAGAGTTGAAAAGGCCCTGGCTCTGGTTGAAGCCAATCTAACTTCCTTAGGGCCCGGGACCACTAGGGTGTTGCTATTTATGGACCTTGAGGCTCTCCGTGGGGCATACCGGGAGAGGCGGTCCCGTAGGTACGAGGGTCCTAGGCCGTGAAGGGCTTTAAAGGTCAAAAGCAGCACCTTAAATCTGACCCTGTACTCCACCGGGAGCCAGTGCAGCTGGAAAAGCACTGGGTGAATATGCTCCCATGGCAGAGACCCCGTGAGGAGCCTTGCTGCAGCATTCTGCACCCGCTGGAGTTTCTGGGACAGCTTCAAGAGCAGCCCCGCGTAGAGCGAATTACAGTAGTCAAGCCTGGAGATGACTGTCACATGGATCACTGTGGCCAGGTCGGGGCGGGAAAGGTAAGGGACCAACTGCTTGATGCGGCGAAGGTGGAAAAATGTCACCTTGGCTGTTGCTGTAACTTGCGCCTCCATGGAAAGGGAGGCGTCAAGGATTACACCCAAACTCTTAACAGAAGGCAATGGCACTAATTGGGCCCCCGCAAGAGAAGGGAGTTGGTCCCTCATCCCCATGCCATCCCGACCCAGCCATAGGACCTCTGTCTTCGAAGAATTTAGTTTCAATCGGCTCCCACGAAACCATCCAGCCACAGCTTCCAAGCATCTGGTCAGTGTGTTCGGGGCTGAGTCGGTGTGGCCATCCATCAGCAGATAGAGCTGAGTGTCATCGGCATACTGGTGACAACCCAGCCCAAAGCTCTGGATAATGTGGGCAAGGGGGCGCATAAAGATGTTAAAAAGCATCGGGGAGAGAATTGTGCCCTGCGGCACTCCACACACCAAGGAGTGGCGCAATGACATTTACCTCCCTAGTGCCACCCTCTGTCCCCCACCAGAGATAAAAGAACACAGCCAGTTACGGGCTATGCCCTGTATCCCCACGTCTGCGAGGCGGTGGTCCAGAAGATAATGATCGACCATGTCAAAGGCTGCTGACAAATCTAGAAGGATCGCCAGTCCTGACCCGCCTCGATCCAGTTGTCTACGGAGATCATCTGTTAGGGCAACCAGAGCCATCTCGGTCCCAAAACCAGGACGGAGACCGGACTGAAATGGATCTAAAGCCGATGTTTCCTCCAGAAACCAACCAAGCTGTTCGGCAACCGCTCTCTCAATTACCTTACCCAAGAGAAAAACACAGAGATGCATAGCAGAGTAAGAAATAAAAACAACACCCCCCCAACTCAGTTGTGAAGTCCATAGATTGTTTAATAAGCCAAACCCCTGGGAGAAGAGCAAGGCTTTCCCCTGTTGCCTAAAGATAAGGTCCTCCTTCTGCGGGGGTATAGATATTAAATTTAAATTAATACTATTAAGGCGATCCTGGCCAGCAATGCCCATCCCTCTCCCCTCTCCCGCCTCCTTCCCTGCAACTCCCTTTGCACCAGATCCATGCAGGAGGAAGCTTCTCTCTCTTTCCCCAGCACAACCTCCCCCCACTCTTGTGCAGGGCCGCCCCCTCCCCGTCCTGGGGCTTCTCATCCTGGACCCCCTCGCAAAGCCCCTTCCCTCCTTCCCCGCCATTGGCTTTGCACTCACCCGAAATCCTGGGCAGCGGGGGCGGGAATGGGAAGAAAGGGTTCTTCTGCTGGGGTATAGATACTAAATTTAAATTACAGTGGTACCTTGGGTTAAATACTTAATTCGTTCTGGAGGTCCGTTCTTAACGTGAAACTGCTCTTAACCTGAAGCACCACTTTAGCTAATGTGACCACCCGCCACCACGCTGCTGCTGCGTGATTTCTGTTGTAGCAGGAACCCCCCACCCCAATCATTCTGTTTGCACAAACTTCACACACACTCACACTCACACACTACATACGCCCCATTTCTGTTACAAATTCATAGAAAATCAACCATACATCGGATTTGCACTGTTCCATTTTATTTTACTCCATGTGACAAGGACTATCAAAGGGGGGTGGCTTGGTTCTGGTCAGCCATAATCCCTTCAGCATACCAGCACATCCACAGGAGCCCTGCCCAGTTGCTATGTCAGCCTTGATAATCCCAGACAGAAGACAATCAAAATGACAAAGAACTTGCATATGATAGTGGATTCAGCACGGACTGGAACAAAGGACAATAATCAGATCTTCCCTCTGGGGGCAGGAAACTGCAAACTCCCCTTTGTCTCCTGGAAGACACTCCAGGACACTCAGGTTACCACCACAACTCCTCCCTCAACCCCTCCTTTCTGTAATGTATGCATGATGTCAACCCTTTCTGTAATGTATGCATGATGTTTCTGGGGGTGGGCTTGACCTGGAGGATGGGAATTTCAAAAGTTTTTATAAGGTCTGGCACACCATCTTTCTGGGTCTTTCCTCTCACCTGCAAGTGAGGGGAGCACCCTGTCGCGACAGTCTTTCTTCAATAAAGACCAAGCCTACAGGCTGCTGATTTGCTTCAATTTACTCTGGTTGGTGTCTTTACTTTTTGTCCAAGGGAGCCCTCAGATTTTTCCGTTAACACTGTTCTTATCCTGAAGCAAAGTTCTTAACCCGAGGTACTATTTCTGAGTTAGCAGAGTCTGAAACCTGAAGCGTATGTAACCCGAGGTAGCACTGTAATACTATTAAGGCGATCCTGGCCAGCAATGCCCACCCCTCTCCCCTCTCCCCCCTCCTTCCCTGCAACTCCCTTTGTACCAGATCCATGAAGGAGGAAGCTTCTCCCCCCCTCCCCTTCAAGGCCCCCCGTTTAAGAAAACAGCTCCCTTTCCTCCCTTCTCTTCTCCCCATCCAGCGGCTTCTCATCCTGGACCCCCTCGCAAAGCCCCTTCCCTCCTTCCCCGCCATTGGCTTTGCACTAACCCGACATCCGGGGCAGCGGGGCGGGAATGGGAGCCCCCGCGTGGGAGGCAGGGCGTGAAGGCGCTTAATTAGGAGGCTTGATTAGGAAGAAGCCCCCTCCTCCGCCTCCGCAGGATGCAGCCCCCCTTCCCGCCTCCTCCCCTCCCTCCCTCCCTCCTTTGCCAGCTCTAATTTTATCTCTGCTGGTGAAGCCGGAAGTGGAGGCAACTCTGAGGAGGAAGAAGTTTCTCTCCACGTTCAGCCTCTGGTCTGTTATTTTATAATTGGGGGAAGCAAATCCTTGTAGCACCCAACCAATGGGAAGACGAGGGAGGGAACGTGTGCATAGGGAATATAAACTTATACTTTGCCCCAGCTGGACTGTGCCTGCTTTGGCTCCCAGCTCTTGCAAGAATATATTGTCCTCACTAAGGGCTTGCCGATCAGAAGGTTGGCAGTTTGAATCCCTGCAATGGGGTGAGCTCCCATTGCTCTGTCTCTGCTCCTGCCAACCTAGCAGTTCGAAAGCACATCAAACTGCAAGTAGATAAATAGGTACCTGTTGTAAACAAAATCTGCCCTTATTCCCTTATGGGGGACACAAGAGCCCTT